CATAGTATTGAGCTGCATTTCAACACAGCATCAAATGGTTTGATGCTGTGTTGAAATGCAGGTTGACACCACTTTAGCTTTCTTTCTTTCTTTCTTTCTTTCTTTCTTTCTTTCTCTTCTTTCTTTCTTTCTTCCCTCTTTTCTTTCTCCTTCCTTCCTTTTCTTTTCCTTCCCTCCTTCTCCTTTTCTTTCTTTCTCTCCTTCTTTTCTTTCTTTTCTCTTCTGTTCCTTCCTTTATCTTCCCTTCTTTTTCTTTCCTCCCTTCCTTTTCCCTTGCTTTCTTTTCCTTTCCCTTCCTTCCTTCCTTTTTCTTTCTTTCTTCTCCTCATACTTTTCCCCTTTCTTTTCTCTTCTCTTCCTTTCTTTATCTTCCCTTCTTTTTCTTTCTTCCCTTCCTTTTCCCTGCTTTTCTTTTCCTTTCTCTTCATTCATTCCTTCCTTCCTTCCTTCTTTCCATCCTTCCTTCCTTCCTTTTCTTTCTTTCTTTCTCCTACTCATACCTTTTCCCCTTTCTTTTCTCTTCTCTTCCTTCCTTTATCTTCTTTTCTTTTTCTTTCTTCCCTTCATTTTCCCTTACTTTCTTTTCCCTTCTTTTCCTTTCCCTTCCTTCCTTTTCTTTCTTTCTTCTTCTCATACCTTTTCCCCTTTCTTTTCTCTTTTCTTTCTTCCTTTGTCTTCCCTTCTTTTACCTTCCTTCCCTTCTTTTCCCCTTCCCTTCCTTTCTGTTCCTTTCTCTTCCTTCCTTTTCTTTCTTTCTTCTACTCATACTTTCCCCGCTTTCTTTCCATCCTTTATCTTCCATTTGGCCCAACTGCAGGTGCTTTGGACTCCAACTCCCACCATTCCTAACAGCCTCAGGCCCTTTCCTTTCCCCTCTCAGCCACTTAAGCCCTAGAAAGAGAGAGTTAACATCTGTCAGGGATGCTTTAATTGGGCTTGAACGTTCACTCATACTACGTCTACACCAAGCATGGGCAAACTTGGGCCTTCCAGGTGTTTTGGACTCCGACTCCCACCATTCCTAACAGCCTCAGGCCTCTTCCTTTTCCCCCTCAGCCGCTTAAGCTGAAGACACAAAAGAAACTGTAGGCATGGTTGAAATTGATTCCATATGATGGCGGGGAGCCCCCGCCAACGATTGGCCTGCACTGCAGCGGAGAGTTCCGCAGTTCCTGGTTGTCTCAATTGGAAGAAACTGATGAAATGTGCCCCAGCAGACAGCTCAATTATGAGACTGCACTCAGCCTTTCATTGCTTTCCCCTCTCCCTACTTTGTAACAAAGCCCTAATAAAGGTACTTGAGATTTGCAACTTTAAAACTTTCCCGCTTGATACTTTGTATCTTTTCCTGCCTCAGACTATTCCAACATAAAAATAAACCTTTTTCCAGGCTCCGGAGAGCTGTGAGCCTGCCGGGGGCGCCTACTGGCACCCCCGGAATGCCGGATCTGCGTTCGTTTAAACCGCGGATATGGAAACCGCCATTTTGGACCCCCGTATCCGCTAAAACAACAAAATGGCGGATCGACGCCGTTCTAATTTTATATTTTTCTGCTATTAATTCTAAGACTAACTGCCATCTCGCTTTCCTCATTTTGGACTCCTGCGCCCGGGGAATAATCATTTTGTTTAAAGTATTATTATTTGACAGCAAACAGCTGATTGTCAAAACTCCGCCGGCTCGGCGAAAGCAGCCTGTTTTCCCTTGCTGCTGCTCGTTCTTGCTCGGCCCTGCCATCAGGGGTTTGCTGTGGACACACATAGGAAGCCCCGGAGAAGCAGCCAGGCGGGAACTCCGGCCCCGGCGCGGGAGGTCTAGTTCGCCAAGGGCCGGACAATGGATTCTGTTGCTGCCTGACCCAGCGCTCACAACTGGGTTCCTGCTTCCTTTTTGTGACTCCCTGACTTATGAACTGGACTATTTATCATATCCATGACCACGAACTCTCTATTGGTGCCTGATTTGAGATGCAAGCAGCCTCCGTTTCCACGCGCCTTCACCAAGGGACCATGGAATCCCCCGTCTGCTTCATAATAAAGATCAAATATTATAATAAACTTTCCTGGGATGGGGATGGGGCTTTGCTTTATGAAATATATGTAATGAAATGTTGTATGGAATATACTGTATCCCCTTTTCCCGCCTTTCCTGTTGACCCTTGCCCCACAAAAATGTGACCTGAAGATTACTGTGATGCCCTGGGGAGAAGTTCCTCTGTTTTCCCCGAAACCCTTCCTGATTGACTCATCAGCATGAAACAATACCTGTTGATTCCCACTCCTCACCCTCTGAGCATGTCTAGTGAGGGGAGGAAGTCAACAGAAACCAGGAAAAAAGATTGATTAAATCATACAAAGGCAACGTTGATCCCCCCTTTTGAGGTCCGTTGTCTGGCCAAGTATTCTTTTCCCCAAAGCCATTCCAAACAGGAAAACCTTTGTTTGCCATCACAGCTGGCCGGTCATAATCCCATCACTTCTCCATTGTGAAAGCTCATCCCGCCTCCTCGCTCCTGATAGGTCCATTCTCGGGAGCGAGAGAAACATTCCAATTGGCCCCTAGGAGGCGGAGAAGCACGCTGATTGGCCCGGAGGCGGGGCGGGTCGCCAAGCCTCCTCCCAGCTGTTCCGCAGCCAGCCAATCAGAGCGAAGCTGGCCGGCAGAGGGCGGGCGGGAATTTTGAAATTGTTTTCTTTGTGTTTTCTTCTATAAAAATGTCTGTAACCATCCTAGCATTATGCTTGCGGTGGAATTATTCCTGCATTGCATTCGACTACAGCTGTGTCGCAATAAACTTCGGTCGCTGACTTCTTCCGCCTGGTGAGGTATTATTATTATTATTTTATTTTAAATTGGCAATTTTCCTGGCCTCACCAAGGTATCCAGGGCCCTTTTTGGCGTGGTCCTCGGGTCCCTCTCTCTTGAGGGGATCCTGCTAAAAGCAGCTCGATATCACTAACAGTTTCAGGCCCCTTCCTTTTCCCCCTCAGCCGCTTAAGCGGCTGAGGGGGAAAAGGAAAGGGCCTGAGGCTGTTAGGAATGCTGGGAGTTGAAGTCCAAAACTCCTGGAATGTCCAACTTGGCTCAGACCTGTGTTAGACAATGATGGAAGAAGACAATAACATAAAAGTGCTTGTTTATAAGGCTGATATCTACAAACTTCACTCTTTACTTCTGGAGCGACGCCATCAGCATTGCCATTCAGGAATCCTGCAAATCTCTTGGGAGGAAGAAGTCTGGCTGGTCCAAGGAAACACCACTAGAATTGAAGCCGTGGCCTTCTGCCATCCACTTTTGCTGGACTGAATGCCTCATTGTCCGAAGGCCCAAATATACCTGACTCCCAAAGCAGTTGCTTGACTATCTCAGCTTAAGGACGGAAAAAGGACAACAAAAGAGGTTGAAGTGAACCGAGAAAAAACTGTTGTGACCAACAGTACTGTGGATTTTGAGGAGAAAATAACCCAGGCCCTCTTTGCGAAAAGGAAAGGCCTGTTGATTCAGAACAGGCTTCCTTGGGGTGGCCCAGGATTTTTCCCTTCAAAAGAAGGCAGTCAATCTCTGGATAGATTATGATAGTTTTATGTCAGAAGTGAGTTGAGGATACAGTTAATGTATATTTAAAAACACAAACTTTTAAAGGGGTTATTGTGAGTTTTCCAGGCTGCATGGCCATGTTTCAGAAGCATTCTCTCCTGACATTTCACCTGCATCAATGGCAGGCATCCTCAGAAGTTGAGAGGTCTGTTGGAAACTGAGAAAATTGGTTTTATATATCTGTGGAATGTCCAGGGTGGGAGAAATAACTCTTATTTGTTTGAGGTAGGTGTGAATGTGTCATTTAGCCACCTTGATTAGCATATAGTGGCCTAGCAGTTTCAAAGTCTGGCTTCTTACTGCCTGGGGGAATCCTTTGTTGGGAGATGGTTTTTAAAAGTTTTAAAACTCAGAATTATGCTCACTGTCCTTTGACTTGGTGTCGCTGTGAGAAGGTCCTCCACTGTGCATGTGGCAGAACTCAGTCTGCATTGTAGTAGGTGGTCTGTGGTTTGCTCTTCTCCACACTCGCATGTCGTGGACTCCACTTTGTAGCCCCATTTCTTAAAGTTAGCTCTGCAATGTGGACAGTTCACCAGTCAAACAGACCCCCAAGTATAGTTTTCTATCAGCTCCTGCACTTTATCATTGTCCACTGCTCTATAGACCCCGCATTCAAATTACAAACATATTACCCTTCTAGATCTCATTATTATTGGCTTTTGCACTTTTCCACCAGCTCTTGTCCTGAAACTATTGCTCTGGCTCTTAGCCCTCTGAGCTCAGTATTTATTACTGTTCAGGCTACTGATGTTTTATGATATTGTCATTGGGTCCTTTGATCCAATGACAATTATATTGTGTTGTTTTATAATGTGGTTTATTATAATGGTGTCATGTTCTTAATCTATGTCTGCCAGGGCTTGTCCCCATGGAAGCCACCCCGAATCCCTTCAGGAGATGGAGGCAGGGTATAAAAGTTGTCATTGTGTAGTTGAAGACTTTAATGGCTGGAATCACTGGGTTGCTGTGAGTTTTCCAGGCTGTATGGCCATGTTCCAGAAGCTTTCTCTCCTGATGTTTCTCCTGCATCTATTATAGGCATCCCCAGAGATTGTGAGGATGTCTGCCATAGATGCAGGTGTAACGTCAGGAGGGAATGCTTCTGAAACATTGCCATACAGCCTGAAAAACTTACAGCAACCCAATGGCTTTAATTATTATTATTATTATTGGTGTCAGGAGTGACTTGAGAAACTGCAAGTCGCTTCTGGTGTGAGAAAAATGACCATCTGCAAGGACATTGCCCAGGGGACGCCCAGATGTTTTACCATCCTTATGGGATGCTTCTTTCCTGTCCCCATATGGGGAGCTGGAGCTGACAGAGGGAGCTCATCTGTGCCATCCACGGATTCGAACCTGCGACCTGTTGGTCTTCAGTCCTGCCGGCACAAGGGTTTAACCCACTGCGCCACTGGAGGCTCCAACTTCATAACCCAAAGTTATTATCATATTATTATTATTATTTTGTAGTGCCAGAGCACAGAGGCTGGTGATGATGAAGACATGAGAGGCTGCTTTGGCAAGGGAGGGCCGGCAGGGGGCAGGCGAGAGTCCAAGGGGGGAGTCCCTTCCTCCCTCCCCTCCTCCCTCTACTCCACAGCTGGAGAACCCTGCAGAGCCTCCTCCTCCTCCTCCTCCTCCTCCTCCTTTGCACCATGACCATCAGCGCCCTCCGCCCTGGAGCAGGGGGCAGCCCCCGCCTGCAACTACCCTGTCTGGCCAAGGTAAGGAGGGGGAGAAGGGATGGGGGTAGGGGCATAGGGAGGGGGGTGTTGCTCCTCCAACCTTTGACCCCCTCCTCCCTCTCTTCCTCCCTCCCTCCTTGCTTTCTTTGCAGATGGAGCGGGTGGTGGTTGGCATGCAGGACCCAGACATGGGCGTCAAGGTGCGCAGCCAGCGCCTCCTCATCACTGTCATTCCCCATGCGCTCACTGGTGAGTGAGGAGAGGGAGGAGAGGAACCCCCCTCCTTTGATTCCAGGATCCCCCTGACTCTCTCTTCCCCCCAATTAGGAATTGACATTGTCCAGTGGCTGGTCCAGAAGTACACCATTTCCGAGGAAGGTGAGCCTCATCACTCCCAGTGACTCTTGTCCCCTGGTGACCCCTTTATTGACCTTCCAGGACCTAAGAGAGGTTCTGGCCTGCGCTGCCTAAGACTCTCTGAACTCGAGGCCCTTCCCACCTCCCTGCAGAGTATCCCTCCAAGACACTACAGGGCTGGGAGGCAATCGCGGGGTGGGTGGGGGACACACCTTGTGCCTCCCCTTTTACTGCCCCCCCCCCCCCGGTGGCGCAGTGGGTTAAACCCCTGTGCCGGCAGGTCGCAGGTTCAAATCCGGGGAGAGGCAGATGAGCTCCCTCTATCAGCTCCAGCTCCTCATGCGGGGACATGAGAGAAACCTCCCACAAGGATGATAAAACATCAAATCATCCGGGCGTCCCCTGGGCAACATCCTTGCAGATGGCCAATTCTCTCACACCAGAAGTGACTTGCATTTTCTCAAGTAGCTCCTGACATGACAAAAAAAACCAAAAAAAAAAAAAAAACCCAAACAAACCCTCTTCTTCTTCTTCCTCTTCCCAAATAAAAAGAGGCCCTCCACCTGGGCAACCTGATTGTGCGGCACGGCTACATCTACCCGCTGAAGGACCCCCGCAGTCTGGCCCTGCGCCCGGATGAGACCCCCTACCGCTTCCAGGTCAGTTGGAGAGGCTCCTCCAGAGCCACCCCCAGAGACCTGGGGATGTAGGTAGAAATAAATGAAATGCACCAGTACAGAATGGGTGGACGATGCCTGCCTCGATAGCAGTACATGTGGAAAAGCACTGGGATTGTGGCGCAGCTGGCTGAGTGTCAGCTGCATTAAGATCACTCTGACCAAAAGGTAATGAGTTCGAAGCCAGCCCGGGTTGGAGTGGGTTTCCAACCAATTGTGTGTTGCCTGTTGTCGACCTTTGCAACCCGAAAGACAGTTGCATCTGTCAAGTAGGAAAACAAGGTACCACCTTAAAGTGTGGGGAGGCTAAATTAACTCATTTATGAGGCCATGAAGAAGACTCCAGCAAAAGCATTCCAGCGGGGAAGCATGCGGGATTGCGGAAGTGCTTCATCAGCGTCGCAGATGGACAATGAAAGCGACAGCTCTCCGGCGGCCAGAAAAAGTTAGATAGCCTCTGTCTATGTCTGTCTGTGTCTGTATATGTTGTATGTCAAAATTGGCATTGAATGTTTGCCATATATGTGTACACTGTAATCCGCCCTGAGTCCCCTGTGGGGTGAGAAGGGCGGAATATAAAAGCTGTAAATAAATAATAAATAAATAAAATATCTTGGAGTCCTTGTGGATAGGAAGGTGAACATTAGCCAACAATGCCATGAGGCAGTTTAAAAAGCCAATGGGATTTTGGCCTGCATAAATAGGAGTATGGTGTCTAGATCCAGGGAAGTCACGCTACTCCTCTATTCTGCCTTGGTCAGACAGAAGAGATGTTGACAAGCTGGAATTGTGTCCCGTTCTGGGCACTGCAATTGAAGGGAGATGTTGACAAGCTGGAATGTGTCCAGAGAAAGGTGACTCAAAGGATCAAGGGTTTGGAGAACAAACCCTATGAGGAGTGGCTTAAAGAGCTGGGCATGTTTAACCTGCAGAAGAGAAGGCTAAGAGGAGACATAATGAGGGCCAGGTATAAAGATGTGAGGGGAAGTCATAGGGAGGAGGCTTGTTTTCTGATGCCCTGGAGACTAGGATGCGGAACAATGGCTTCAAAATACAGGAAAGGCGAGTCCACCTGAACATTAGGAAGAACTTCCTGACTGTGAGACTGTTCCACAGTGGAACTCTCTCTCTGCCCTGGAGCGTGGTGGAATCTCCTCCTTTGAAGGCTTTTAAGCAGAGGCTGGATGGCTATCTGTTGGGGGTGCTTTGAATGTGATTTTCCTGCTTCTTGGCGGAATGGAACTGGATGGTCCACAAAGTCTCTTCCAACTATGATTCAACAAGGAGGGCACAACATGCACAGCTGCCCCTTCCTCTCTTTCTTTCTTTCTTTCTTTCTTCCTCCCTCCCTCCCTCTCTATCGCCCACAGACGCCGTATTTCTGGATGAGCACCAAGTGGCCGGCCACAGAACTGGATTATGGTGAGCCCTCCCCCTCCTAACCTCTGTTTGTGTGGGGGGGGGGCAGCAGAGGAGGGTTAGGGTTAGAGGTCATGAACCACAACTGGTCCTTCTCTTTCCAGCCATCTACTTAGCCAAGAGGAACATCCGGAAGCAGGGGGAGCTCGTTGGCCATGAGAAGGTGGGAAGCCCTTGGCAATTGGGGGGCTGCAGTGCCAAAAAGGGGTGGAGGCGGTTGCATAGATCTGACATGCCCCCTTCACCCCTCGGGCCCCTTTCAGGATGACTACAACCTGCTCCACAAGAGGATCAACCACAGCTGGGACTTCGTGGTCATGCAGGCCAGGGAACAGCTCCGGTGAGTAGTACCCCATATCTATTGAGCATCCCTACTCCATTGGCCGCTGAGGGGGGCGGGCGGGGAGGGAATTGTTATGACCACACAAGGGCAATTGGAAAGCTGAGGGTGGAGATGGCATCCCCCACCCTCTCATTTCCTCTCTTGCTTCTCAACAGGGCAGCCAAGCAGCGGCGGAAGGGCGACCGCATCGTCATCGAGTGCCAGGAGCAGGCCTATTGGCTGGTCAACAGGCCCCCCGTGAGTGAATGATTTGAGGGGAGGGGGTTCAGGGAGGGGAACAGGGATGCCCTTCACCAGCAGCACCAGTCACCCCTCTTTGCTCATTTTTTTGTTGGGGGGCAGAGGGGTTACAGCAGTTGGGAAAAAGGTGCTTGGTCACCATCCTTCTTGTCCTTCGGTTTCATGGCACAGAGAGCTCAATGACCCCACATGTGGGAGCATCCTCGGGGATATGGGGGGGAGCATCTCCCTCCTTCCCCACAAAGGGAAGGGACAGAGGCAGACCCCAAAGGCTCTCTCTTTTCTTTGCAGTCTGGGGTCTCAAACGTCCTGGAGCAGGGCCCCGAGCGCCGGAACCGCCACAGCACCCGGGTGCAGCTGGTAAGGGGGGGGGCAGGGAATGGGTTCCTCTCTTGGGGTCTATTTATTGGATCTGGGGGTGGGGTTCACCCTTACTTCCTTTCGGCCTCCTCGTGCTCTCTGGGAAGAGAACGGGGCAATGTGGGGGGGGGGGTCAACTGTGTGTGTGTTTTGGGGGTGGGTCCTGTTTGTCTCTACACTGTTGACTTTACTAACTCTGACTGTGTCTGTTGTGTGTCTTAGAGACCAAAGTGGGGGGGGGGGGTGGAATGGAGAAGCAGACAGTCTCCTTTCGTTGATCTGTGTTAAGACCCTCCTTAATTGTGTATTGGGGACGGGGGTCTTGTGTGCCTCTGTGCTGGGGAAATGGGGAGGAGCTGCTTGTGTCTTTGCCTGTTCCCCTGTCTGCCCCCCCCTTCCCCCGATGGATTTTTTCGGGGCCTGATCTCTCTTCTCTTCTGTGCCCTGCTTTGTCCGTCTGTCCATCTGTCCACGTAAGTCACTAACACAGCTGTTGATGTGTTGCTGGTGGGAGTTGGGGGGCCCTTGGGGGGGCTCCCCATTAAGCGGATCCAGAGGGAAACGGGGGCCTCCTCTCCCTATTCCCCTCTCCTGGCTATCCTGTCTGCTGATGGCCTGCAGGGCATTGCCTATTTGCAATGTGTGACGGAAGGCGGGGAGCAATTGCTGGGAAGGAGGGCGGTGGGACACACGGAAAGGACCCTGATTGCTTTCTGCCTCTCCTTTTCCTTGCAGGAGAAGAACACTGACTTCTACAAGCGGGAGGTGAGTGAGTGAATGAGGCTTCTGGCGGATCCCTTCAAAGACCATCTTCTCTATGCATATCAGTGTGAAGAGGTTTTGGGGCTGTATGGCTGTGTTCTAGCAGCATTTTTTCCAGGCGAGGAAACAAAATCCCATGATTCCAGCCATGAAAGCTTTCAACAATATATTGTGACCTCCTGGGTTGTAAGCCCCTCTGACCCCCTTCTCCTTCCGGCAGATCCGCTACTTCCGGGCGGCCATGGTCCGTAATCGCGTCAAGTCCTCCGTCTGCCTGGAAGGGTGAGTGGGCACCGACCACGGCCATTGTCCCCCGGCACTTGGTCTCTGCCAGCTGCATGTCCCAGCAGCCAAAGGTTTCCACAAACGCAGATGGAGATGCACTCAATGTGGATAGTCATGCTATTCGGGCCCCGATTGCCAGTCCTTTCTAATTTGCACATCCCTACTCCCAGTCTCAGTCTGAAAGCAGTCAACTTGGAAGACATTCACTTCAGCACTGGGCCCCAACCATGTTTTGGGGATCTGTCATTCTCCTCAATGCTTTGGACACTCCATCTTGCCCTCCCCATAACCCAATGCTTCCTCGGCTCCCCTTTGCAGCTACATCCGGTTCAACGAGCAGTACGTGCCCCACGACCCCATTATGTCGGGCTGCCTCCCCAGTAACCCCTGGATCACAGGGGACACCATGTACTGGACCATGAATGCCCCCACGTAAGCACCTCCTCCCCCAGACCCAGGGGAAAAAGGAGGTGGTGGGTGGGTGAGCGAGCTCCACACCCACAATGATCCCCCCCCCCAATTTATTCCAGGGTGACGGCTCCCACCAAGCTGCGGGTGGAGCGCTGGAGTTTCGGCTTCAGTGAGCTCATAGGGGACCCCCTCGGCCGTGTCCAGCTCTTGGAGTTCCTCAAGAAGGAGTTCAGTGGTGAGACAAAGAAGGGATGTGTCCCCCCCCCCCCCGCCACCCCACCAAGAAAAGAGCATTGAGTGCAGCCGCCCAGGGGAATAATGGCCCTTTCTGTGACCTTGCAGCCTCCTAATTGGGTTGGAGGGACAAAGTAAAAGGAGCTAAAAAAGAAACTAGTGTCCAGAAGTTGAACAGGAATATCCTTATAGCTGACATGTGATCTAAAATAATGACCATGAAATATCCGCTCTGCGCAGCTGAGAACCTGAGCTTCTGGGAGGCCTGTGAGGAGCTGCGCTACGGAGAGCAGGGGCGCATTGCGGAGATCGTGGACTCCATCTACCAGTGAGTGAGAGCACCCCCTTCTTCCCTTTGGGGCTGGGGGCGCCTCCTTTGCCTCCCCACCCACCCTTTCAAGGCTAGAGGTTGGGTGTTGTGTTGTTTGCAGGCTGTATGGATGTGTTCTAGCAGCATTTTCTCCTGAAACATCAGGGGATAATGCTGTCATAACACAGCCGTACAGCCTGGAAACAACACAGCACACGTGATTCTGGTTAGGAAAGCCTCCGACAATGCCTTGTTGACATGCCCCCTCTGTTTCCCCCCTATTTCCTCTCTTTTAAGGCAGTTCCTGGCCCCCGGAGCCACCCGCTGGGTCAACATTGACAGCAAGACCATGGAGCGGACCCTGGAGGGCATCAAGACTCCGCACCGCTACGTGATGGATGATGCCCAGATGCACATCTACATGCTGATGAAGAAGGTAACTGACAGAAAGCAGGGTGGGGGCCCTGCAATCCCTTCTTTGGGGCCTCTCCAGGGCTTGGAGGCTTGACCCTTCACCTCAGTACTCTCCTCTTATCCCCATCCCAAAAATCAGGATTCCTACCCCCGTTTCATGAAATCTGACCTCTACAAGAACTTGCTGGCGGAGGCCATCATCCCTCCGGAGACCAAGAGGCAGTGAGTTGGGGGGGGGGGTGAGGAGGAAGAGGAGGGGGCCACTGATGGGAAAGGGCTCCGACAGGAGGAGGGCAATTCTTCTGACCCCTGACCCCACTCGCTTTCCAGTGTGTTCCCCTTCATGCGCAAGCCCCGCCAGCCCAGCCCCAGCCCAGCCCTGCAGCTGCCGCCCCCGGGGGACTCCGAGGGCAGAGCGGAGGAGAAGGGCCCCGCGGCCCCCCCAGAGGGAGGCACCTAGTCTTTGTGGAGGAAGAAAGAAGGAAGGAAGGAAGGAAGAGAGAGAGGCGGTTGCTTCGTCCCAGCAATGATGCTCTCGGGGATCCAGACCGGCCCCCCTCTCCTCTCAAAGTGTGGATGAAGCCACATGGAGCAAGGCCTACTTACTATGCACCCCTTCTTCTGCCTCAGTGCCCAGGATAACACCCCTCCCTCCCTCCTGGCTCAGCCGCCTTTCCTCAGGAACCCCCACTCTCTCCTGCCTCACTGCCTCCCCTCTGTGGGCTTTTGGTCACTATGCCTCTCCCTCAATCCCCCTCTGTGCACGACCCACAGGCAATAAACCCCTTTTTGAGACCAAGGCAGTGGTCTTCCTAGTCTCTGGGCCTTACAGGTGCTGAAAGGGAGGGGAGCTCCTATTGTCTGGGAAGCAGCCTTGACTCCAGCCCCAGGAGCCCTCCCTCCCTGAGAGCAGGGGCAAGGAGAGAGCCGGACTGCACTGGGCCTGCCCCATCCACCCTTCAGGGAAATGGCTCTCTCTCCCCTCTCCCCACCCTCCAGTGCTCCACATCTGGGGCTCAGCAGGCATTTGCAGCCTGCAGTTTAAGAGGATTAGTGGCTGGAAGGGAACGGGGCCAGGCGGACAAGTGGCCAGGGGCACTTCCCTGCCAGCCAGCATAATCAGCAGCCATCCTTTGTGGCCCTGTTTTCCCTCAGAGGCGAAAGCATTTTGGGCAAACATGGGGAGTGGGTTTCTTGTGGGGCAGCACCTCTTGCCTCTCGCTTAGCTTTCCATGTGACTGGGTGATTGCTAGCTAACTGTGGCCTCAGCAGTCAGTAGGGAAGCCTTTAGGAAGGGATGGCGGGCGGGGGGGGGGGGGGGGAATTGGTACAGGAAAAGCACTCCAAACCTGTGGCTCCATCTCTAAGTGGGGCTGGGAGAGCCCTATGGGTGCTTCCCAGCCAAGTGGAAACAAGAAGAGGTGGCCTGGAAAGCCAAATCCCTCAGAAACAGGCAGCAGAAGGGCAGGGGCTTATGCAGATGTGCGTCATCCACAAAGAACCCGGGGAGGAGGGCGGGTTCACAGGCAGCAATAGCCAGAGCTGATGGAATGAGGCAACCTCCCCACCACCTCCATCCGGTTGAGAAAGGGAAGAAACAGGGTCCAGCCATAAGCAGAGAGAGGCAACCCATTTATTTAATCCGTGGCATCAGTCCATCTGTGGCAGAACAGTCCAGGAGCTCATTTGCGCAGCCTGAGTCCCTCTGATTGGTCAGCAGCAAAGGGTGAAGGGAGGAGTGAGCAAAGAACACCCAAATGGCTCCAGGGAGGATGCTCCAGGGCCCCTGCATCTTAAAAGGCCCTGCTGTTTTCTTTTTTTTGGGGGGGGGGGTGGAGGGAGGCAGCCCTCCAATCCCCCCTGGAAGGCACTGGGGAAAAGTCTTGGGGGGGCCACGGCATCAGAGCCAACAGTTCAAGGAAGGGGGCAACGAGGTGCAACGCCCCCACGAGGCTGCCACTGTCTCCGAGGCCCAACCGCCTACCACTCTGTTATAATTAAATAATAACACAATTTCATCTGTATCCCATCCCATCTCCCCTGGGGGACTCTGGACAGCTCACAACAAAAAACGGCAGCCTTTGATGCCAAAAAGTACATAACAAACAAACCAAATAATTAACATGACACAGGTAAACAAGGAAAACAATAACAACCAGGCTTCCTGTGGCTGCATCCTGCTTGGCCTCAACACATGCATATGCACACATGCCATACACGCTTACGCACAGTCTCTCTGGCTCATAGTCGTTCTGCTGGCGCCTGCCACTGACGCCTCCCAAGGAAAGTGCTGCCGTAAAGCCTCCTGTGCGATGGAGGCCTGCGTCATGCCCCCTGCAGCTGTTCCTGGCAGCCTGTTTGTCAGGATCTTCCCTCCCTTCAGAGTCTTCAGGTGGCCTCCCCCTTGCAGAGTGGGGCTCATTGGTAGCTGCGGTACCGCATCCGGAGGAAGTGTTCCCGGACGTCCTGGTCTGTTTTCGTGGCCAGAGGACCCAGCCACAGCACCCTGCCTCCAGCCACATCCTCCTTCAGCCGCCGCTTTGAGAGCACGACTGTCCCTTCTGAGCCGCCGCTCACCTGGGGGCCTGTCAGCAGCACATAGCAGGCGTGGCGGCTCCGCTCAAAGAGGGCCCCTGGGAGCAAAGGGATGAAAGGGATCAGGCTGGTGGCAGGTGAAAGCAAGGGAGGGAGGAAGGGTTGGGGGCACAAGGAGGGGGCCTTACCCTCAAAGACAACTATGGGCTCAGTGACGTTGGTCATCTCCACAAGGACATTGGGGAGGGATGGGTGGAAGAGGTACAGGTGTGGTATCGGCGTCGGCTGCGAGGCATTGCCTAGGGAACCCTGGGAACCAGAGACAGAGCACAGCCAGTCACCTCCAGTAGCTGCCCACCAGAATGAAGGCTTCTGAAGGCCATGGGGAGGGTTTATACCACTGCAAAATGACCACTCGGGAAGCAACCACTCTGCCCCAGTCCCTGTTCAATCGCCTTTCTCTGCTCTGCTCACCAACCCGTTGATGTCTTCCGGGTACTGGCCCCAGAAGAGGAAGACGGAAAGATGGTCAGCTGTTCGGATTGTGGCTGCCTGGGGAGGGACTGTCCCTGGCTGCAGCAGCTCCACTTCCCAATCGATGTCCCCTGTCTCGCCCTCCACAATCATCACCTGTGGACAGAGTGTCACAAGTCTGTCAACAGCCTCTGCCCCAAGGGCCCCTCCTCCTCCTCTTTACCCCCAAACTGTGCCCCTCAGCTCTGGCTCTGCGAGGCATCTCTGGATGCAACTTTGTCCTTAAATACGGTTGTAGCCTTGCACCAGGGAAAGCACCACCATTCTTTCCACAAAACACTTGCAAGGCCACTCGCAGTCGGCTCAAAGGCCACCTCGGCGGCCTAGAGACCCCAACCCACATCTCCTTGCCCCCCAGATGGCACCCTGCAAACCTTTTTCTTTATGGGGGAGACTTGGCTTTCGATGATCATGTCAATCTCGTCAAGATCGAAGGACCCAATGACAGGCTCTCTGCAAAAGGGGGGCAAGAAGGTGGTGCCCAAATGAGTTTCGGGGCTTCTTTGCCACAAGGACCCCTTATCCGCATTGTGGATGGAAGGAGCTTTGGGGCACCAACAAGCCCAGGTGGGGACTATGGGCCCCCTCTCTGCTTGCCATGTGTGTCTGCTCAGAGGGCTGAGCCCAACCCAGGTATGGGGACCAAGGCAAGGACTGGGCTTGCTGTTTCCTGACATCAACACACACTGCCTCTTCAGCGACCAGATGGGAGCCAGTCTTACCTCAGGAGGCCAGGGATGTCTATGACCCAGACGGAGCTCAGGTGCTGCCCGTTTACCATCTCCAGCAGAGAGAAACTCCTCGCTAAAAAGTTGGTGCCAGGTTTCTCCTCCATCTTGGTCAGAGAGTGGATCCCTCCCAAGCTAGAGGGAGAGGAGGAAACGCTAGGAAAACGAAGGCTTGACCAGGATGGGTAGCCTCTTCTCATTTATTTATTTATTTATTTCCTTCCTTCACTTGTATACCACTTTTCTCATCCCAGGGGGGCCTCAAAGCAGATTCCAACATATTTACAGCAAAATGTAATGCCTCACCTAGATATGAAACCTAACATAAAAACATGATAGCCATGTATAAGTATGTGAGGGGAAGTCATAGGGAGGAAGCTTGTTTTCTGCTGCCATGGAGACTAAGAAGCAATGAAGCAATAGCTTCAAACTACATGAAAGAAGATTCCATCTGAACATTAGGAAGAACTTCCTGACTGTGAGAGCCATTCAGCAGTGGAACTCTCTGCCTCGGGAGTGTGGTGGAGGCTCCTTCTTTGGAGGCTTTTAAACTGAGGCTGGATGGCCATCTGTCAGGGTTGCTCTGAATGCGATTTTCCTGCTTCTTGGCAGGGGTTGCAGGGTGGCCTCACAATCGGCAACCATTAGATTATAACAGGAGTCCTCAAACTATGGCCCGGGGGCCGGATACGGCCCTCCAAGGTCATTTATCCGGCCCTCACTCAGGATCAACCTAAGTCTGAAACGACTTGAAAGCACACAACAACAATCCTATCTCATCAGCCAAAAGCAGTCCCACACTTTCCACTGAAATACTCATAAGCTTATATTTGTTAAAATTGTTCTTCATTTTAATGATTGTATTGTTTTTGAATATTTTTTGCACTACAAATAAGATCTGTGCAGTGTGCATAGGAATTCATTCATGTTTTTTTCAAATTATAATCCGGCCCTCCAACAGTTTGAGGAACTGTGACCTGGCCCTCTGTTTAAAACGTTTGAGGACCCCTGCTCTATAACAATAACATATAACTATCAATTGGATCCTAAAAACACAACTTCTTTGCACTCCCAGAGTTACCTGAGGAGGGCAATCCTGTGGGTGACGTCGTCAATGGCCGCTTCCCAGCGTGAGTCCTCCTTCAGGCTGGTGCTTGGGTAGGCAGGCAGCGGGACAGACAAGCGCCAGACCTGCTGCACGGAGTAGCTGAAGAGGCCTTGCTCTGGGCAAGAGAAAGGGGAAGCTGGGTGAGAGGGGTGAGGAAAAAGGGGGTTTGGGTGCAAGGGGCATCCTTTCCTCCCTCCACACCCACCTGTGTGGAAGAGTAGGTAGGAAGCCCCGTTGGGCATGACCTGCAGGAGGTGGCCCAGGCAGTCTGGCAGTGGCAAGGGGGCCGTGACTCCGATCTGTGTGCCATCCGAACTGGAGTAGAAGGAGCTCCTCAGCTGCACAGGAAATAAAAGACAGAAGAAGAGGGCTGGTGTCTGTGAGGAAGCAGGGTGTGCTGGTGCCTTCTTCTGGCAGGACTCTTCAGGTTTGAACAGAATGACAGTTAGAGAAGTCAGTTGAGCTCTGAGCCTGTTCGAGAATGTCTGTTGAGCTTTGAGTCAGTTTAGTGTGCAGAAGCTAATGTTAGAAGCTAGTAAATTGTTGAGGCTTGTGTTTTCTTTGAACTCTTATTCAGGAGAGCAGTGTGGAGCAGTGTAGTTTGTGAAGAAACAGTTAAAGTTTGTAGATACAAACTCTCCAAACATTTTGGGATTTTTTAACCCTCAAAATAAACATGCCTGTATCATTAAATATATGAAGTTATAAGTAAACAAACATTGTTGTGGGGTTTTTCGGGCTATATTCACACCTAGCTCCAGAAGACAAGAGTCCTTTGTCCCACCCTGGTCATTCCACAGATATATAAACCCCTTTTCCTAGTTCCAACAGACCTCACTACCTCTGAGGATGCTTGCCATAGATGCAGGTGAAATGTCAGGAGAAAATGCCTTTAGAACATGGCCATATAGCCCGAAAAAACCTACAACAACCCAGTGATTTCAGCCATGAAAGCCTTCGACAATACATTAAATATTAGGTTCTTGTGGGTTTTTTCGGACTATAGGGCCACGTTCTAGAGGCATTTCTCCTGATGTTTCACCTGCATCTATGGCAAGCATCCTCAGAGGTAGTGAGGTCTGTTGGAATTAGGACAATGGGTTTATATATCTGTGGAATGGCTGGGGTGGGGCAAGGAGCTCATTAAATATTGTTGTCCTAAAGAAGTCTGCTTGAATCTTTGCCTGCCTAAAGCATCAAATAAACTCAAGGAATACTACTCTCAGACTCTACTACACCAATGGGTTGCGATCCTAACAGGTTGCAATCCATTCTTAATCCCAATAGGATATGGGCCCAGGCCACCCAGCCTGCAAAGAGTTAATAAAAGAAAAAGAGAAAAATAAATAAATAGAAGTGCTTTGCAGCCAGCCAGCAATTGACTCTTCTGCTGAGTTAAACTGAGGTAAAAGAGATACAAAGTGTCAGTTTAAATCGCTTTTTACCAATGTATGTATTTTTATATATGGCACCTAATTGTTGCCGACTTGTATGCCGCCATGAGTTGCCTTTGGGCTGATATGGGCAGGATACAAATGTTGTAAATAAATAAATACGTAAGTAATTTTTGAGCAGCCTGAGAAGCTGACATTACAAAACAAAGCAGAGCACACTACTTTATCTCAAAAATAAAGAGAATATAATTCTGAAGCAGTCCCTGGTGGCACAGAGGGTTAAAGCACTGAGCTGCTGACCGAAAGGTCACAGGTTCGAATCTGAGGAGCTTCGTGAGCTCAGTGTTAGTCCCAGCTTTTGCCAACCTAGCAGTTCAAAACCGTGCAAATATGAGTAGGTCAATAGGTACAGCTCTGGCGGGAAGGTAACAGGGCTCCATGCAGTCATGCTGGCCACATGACCCTGGAGGTGTCTATGGACAACACTGGCTCTTCGGCTTAGAAATGGAGATGAGCACTAATCCCAAGAGTCATACACGACTAGACTTAATGTCAGGGGAAAACCTTTACCTTTACTGTAATTCTGAAGATGGCAAGAGGATTAAAAAAAAACCTGTCTGTTTAAAACTGACAGATAATAACTTTTCAGTTTGGAAAGCAAAGATGTTTCTATATTTAAAAGCAACGAAACTATCTAAATGTTTAGAGCAAAAACCTGAGGGAGAAAATGCTCAAATTGAATGGGAAGAAGTAGATTCTGAAGCTCAAAGCATAACTGCGTTAGAGTTAACGGACAGGCAAATGAGTGTAGTACAGCATTGCACCACAGCTAAGGAAATGATGGAGAAATTAGAAAATCATTTTGGCCCAGGCGGTCTGGAAGTGGCAAGGGGGCCGAGGCCCAGATCTGGGTAGTAGAAGAAGCTCCTCAGCTGAAGAGGAAATGAAAGACAAGGGAAGAGGGCACAGGTGTGTGAGGAATCAGGGTGCTGGTGCCCCTTTCTGGCAGGACGCTTCCCTTGGGGCAGACAAGGCCAGGTTGGCCTGCTTTGGAGCCTCTCCCCCCACAATCCATGGAGAATTCCTGCCCAGCTGCCAAGGTTTGCCACTGTGGTAGTCAGTGGTTCACAGGTAAGCAGGAGACTGGCCCATGGGCCTCAGGACGAGCACAGGGCCAAGCCTCACCTGCTGTCCCACTTTGACGAAGACCAAGATGTCTGGCAGGTCATCTTTGTTGACATCGGGGACCTTGTGCGCAGGGCCCAGCACTGTAGCATTGGCTCCAAAGTGGGCTGCTGCCCGCCACAGCGTCTCCCCTGCAGAGGGAGCACAGCAGGAACCCTTTGAGACTCGAGGCCTGGAGGAGTGGCTTTGGCACCATCCCAGTGGCTTGGAGGGGAGTGGCCAGAGCCCTCAGGGCCCGCTACCTGTTTGCAGGTCCAAGGCGGCTAGGAAGTCAGGCTTCCCCAGGAGGAGGCAGGCAGGGCCTCCGCTGTGCTCCCAGGCGCAGTCCAGCAGCAGCAGCTCCTCCCCCATTGGCCGGGCCCAGAGGAGGCTCCCGTTGGTGCCGGAATGTGCTACTAGAAAGGCGCAGGGGGAGGGCAGCCCTGATGGGAGGGAGGGAAAGAGGCATGGAAAAGAAAGAGAGAGGAAGAAGGGTCAGCCACACAGGGTCTACCGCCACCCGCCCCTCCCTCCTTGCTCGTTCCCTCTTCCCTCCCTGGAATCTCTTCCTCACCGGCATCCGAGCAGCGCCTCCCTCTCCCTCCTCCCGCAAGGCTGCTGTTGACGCCACTGCTGCTGTTGATCTCCGCAGCCCGCAAGGCGACCAGGACATCCTTCACCCGGTCCTCATCAGCGTCGGCCAGTGCCAGGAGCTGGAAGGCAGCTGTGGAAGGAAGGAAGGCTACTTATGTGCATTCAGGCCAAAAGCCATGCCATTTTCAAAACTGTTTCCTTCATTTTGTTACCCGAAAGGGGAGAGGTGTTTTCCATTTCATTTGGCAGAGGTTCGGCCCATTGGCTACAATGGCAAACTTTAAAGCAGTGGTTCTCAACCCGTGGGTCCCTAGATCTTTTGGCCTTCAACTTCCAGAAATCTTAACAGCTGCTAAACTAGCTGGGATTTCTGGGAGTTGTAGGCCAAAACACCTGGACACCCACAGGTTGAGAACCACTGCTTTAAAGGCCCAATCCTCAGAATGAAAATTACCTCAGTTGTAGACCCCATTTACAACTGTAGGCCTGACAAGTTTCAAAACAATTCACCAACCTACTGATTTTTTAAAGAATTATTTTAAGTTTTAAATGTAACATTTTTTAAAAACTATGACAAACTACAAGAGGGTTATGGGAATTGTAGTCACCAGTTGTGTCCACTCTCAGCCAATCAGAGCATGGACACCACCAGGCTTTTTATTGGCTGCGAAACGCAGAGATAAAAACTTCAACTCCCATCATGCTCCAAGAGGAACTTCCAATGGCCACCCTATGCTAGTGCCACTGGGAAAGCGAGTTCTAAGGACCCTCTTTTGTAAAGAGGAAAAACTGGAGGCAATTTCTTTTGCTGAGGACCGGGCCATGGCACAGCTAGTTAGTAGCCAGCTGCATTAAATCACTACTGATCAAAACTTCATGAGTTTGAAGCCAGAGTGAGCTCCCAAACATTAATAGTTTAGCTTGCTGTCAACCTATGCAGCTTGGAAGACAGCTGCATCTGTCACGTAGGAAATTTAGTACCACTTTATGCAGGGAGGCTAATTTAACTAATTTATGACATCATAAAACCTCCCAGAAGCGTGCAGAAGAATGAGGAAGTACTCCATCAAAGGAACCGGTGTCACAAGTGGAAGGTGAAGCGGCAGCTCCCCCTATGGCAGGAACCGAGCATGCCCTCATGAAGCTGGAATGTTAAATTCCAGCATATATATGTTATATGTCTAAATTGCATTGAATGTTTGCCATGTATATGTGCATTGTAATCCGTGCTGAATCCCCTGCAGGGTGGGAAGGGCAGAATATGAATACTGTAAATAAATCTATATAAATAAATATGTAATGTTTGTTTGTGGGATTAACATAACTCAAAAACCACTGGATGAATTGACACCAAATCTGTGTTGTTGGTCTTGGCCTCATGTAAGCTGCCCCGAGTCCCCTTGGGGAGATGGTGGCAGGGTATAAAGATGATGATGATGATTATTATTATTATATTGGCCACAAGACACCTATCAGGCTAACGAATGACCATCACTTATAAAAACAAAACAACACACAGTGGAAAAGACCTAAAACTCCAAAAAACCACAGAAAGACATTACAGTGCATGCATGAAAATGACTCCCTGCCCCCTCCATTTCTACTTGAGTCAAGCGTGAATTTTGCAATTGTCCACCTGGATGACCTTTAAATAGCCCTGCACCTTAAAAGCCTGGCTTCTATCAGCCAGCGGGAAACCTTTAGTGGGAGGAGTTCCCTAGCCCTGATTGTTTCATGTCTGGAAAGCTTCTGTTTTCCGAGGGCCACAGCAATATGTGGCTGGTACAGCTAGTAAATAAAAAAAAGGCATCACAGATCCCCCTGCCTCAGGTATTTGTGGAGTTTACTCTTTCTGAAAATATTGTCTCTCTGAATTTGTTTCACTGGTCTTTTTGTGTCTCTCTTCCCCGTTCTTTTTTTCAGAAATTACACGAAAATGGCCCTCCGAAAACTACAAATCTTTTTGTTAACAGTGATTCAGTGAATACATATTCCATTTTAATCTGTCCCAATTATATATATTCCATTTTACTCTGTCCCAATTAGCTACATCCTCATGATCCACTTTCCTTCCACCCAGGCCCATAGCCAGGATTTTGTTTGGAGGCTGGGTTTGGTTCGGGGGGGGGGGGGGGGTTTGTTTCGGGGAGGGGGCTGAGTTTGGTTGGGGGGGGGCTGAGTCTGAGTGAAAGAGGGTCTACCCTAGCAAACCTTTTGTATCGTTACCCCAATACCCCCATGCATATGGGATATATTGAGCATGGTGATCAGATCATGATATGAATAAACATAACAGTTTAAATAATGTACCAGTAAGGCCTTTTCGCGAACCACCATGAGAATTTCGGGGGGGGGGGGGGCTGAAGCCCCCCCAAGGCCCCCCCCGCTACATGCCTGCTTCCACCCTTAATTGAAAGTTTAATCCCACTGTTCAGCCCTTTGAGTCCCCCCCCCTCCCCCCAGAAACACATCCAGGGTTTTATCCCTTCTTATCCATTTTACTTCTAGTACATTTGGCCCGCCCACTGTGTCCCGTTTCTCTATCATGTCTTTCTGGAACTGTTTTATTTTATTTTGTTATGTATTAATTTTGATGGCATTGTTGCTTTTTTGTATTTCATTTTGCTGTACTTGTATTGTATTTTGTTGTAATTTTGGGCTTGGGAGAGGTCATCCGGAGTTTTGGAGTTGGGTGCCATCTCTACGCAGATGACACACAACTCTACTACTCTTTTCCACCTAATTCCAAGGAGGCCTCTCGGGTGTTGGACGAGTGCCTGGCCGCTGTGTCTATCTGGATGAGGAGGAACAAGCTGAAGATCAATCCCGACAAGACAGAGGTCCTCCTGGTCGATCGCAAACCGGACCGGGGTATAGGGTGGCTACCTGTGTTGGACGGGGTTACACTCCCCGAAGCCACAGGTCCGTAGCTTGGGAGTCCTCCTGGACTCATCGCTCATGCTTGAGGCTCAGGCATCGGCGGTGTCTGGGAGGGCTTTTGCACAACTGAGACTTGTGCGCCAGCTGCGCCTGTACCTCGCTAAGGCTGATCTGGCCGGGGTGGTCCATGCCTTGGTCACCTCTAGACTGGATTACTGCAATGCGCTCTACGTGGGGCTGCCCTTGAAAACGGCTCGGAAATTCCAACTGGTCCAACGGGCAGCAGCCAGGATGTTAACTGGGGTCATTACAGAGAGAGGTCTACCCCTCTGTTTAAGGAGCTCCACTGGCTGCCATTTATTTTCCGAGCCCAATTTAAGGTGCAGGTGCTTACCTACAAAGCCCTGAACGGTTTGGGACCACCCTACCTGCGTGACCGCATCACAGTCTACGAACCCACACGTTCACTCCGGTCATCAGGAGAGGCCCTGCTCGTGATCCCGCCCGCGTCGCAAGTGCGCTTGGTGGGGACGCGAGACAGGGCCTTTTCTGTGGTGGCCCCCCGACTCTGGAACGCCCTCCCGAAAGATCTCAGACAAGCCCCTACATTGGCAGTCTTCAGAAAGAATCTGAAAACTTGGCTGTTCCAATGTGCCTTTTCAGATTAGGAACCCCAGCACCAAATCCTAGAAGCACTTTAGTAGAACCAAGATCACTGCACACTGCACTTACTTTATAATCCTACATCCCTCCTGCCACATCAGCACTTTTAATCCTGTACCCCTACTCCAGCCGGCCCAGTTTTAATAGTGTCTTGTTGTATTGTTACTGTTATTGTTCTCCTGCTTAACTCTTTTTAATTTGCTTTAGGTATTGTATTGTTGTATTGTGTTTTGGGCTTCGGCCTGTGTAAGCCGCATCGAATCCCTTGGGAGATGCTAGCGGGGTACAAATAAAGTAATAATAATAATAATAATAATGAAATTGAATCCAGACAAGACAGAGGTCCTCCTGGTCAGTCGCAAGGCCGAACAGGGTATAGGGTTACAACCTGTGTTGGATGGGGTCACACTCCCCTTGAAGACACAGGTTCGCAGTCTGGGTGTGACCCTGGACTCATCGCTGAGCCTGGAACCCCAGGTTTCGGCGGTGACCAGGGGAGCATTTGCACAGCTAAAGCTTGTGCGCCAGCTGCGCCCGTACCTTGGGAAGTCTGACTTGGCCACGGTAGTCCACGCTCTGGTTACATCCCGTTTAGACTACTGCAACGCTCTCTACGTGGGGTTGCCTTTGAAGACAGCTCGGAAGCTCCAACTAGTCCAACGCTCGGCAGCCATGATTTTAACAGGAGCGGAGCGCAGGGAGCATACAACCCCCCTGTTGCGCCAACTCCACTGGCTACCGATCTGCTACCGGGCTGAATTCAAAGTGCTGGCGTTGGCCTTTAAAGCCCTAAACGGTTCCGGCCCAAGCTACCTATCTGACCGCATCTCTGCCTATGAACCCACCAGGACTTTGAGATCTTCCGGGGAGACACTGCTCTCGATCCCGCCTGCTTCTCAAGCTCGGCTGGCGGGGACGAGAGATAGGGCCTTCTCGGTGGTGGCTCCTCGGCTGTGGAACGCCCTTCCTACGGACATTAGACTAGCACCATCTCTAATGGTATTCCGCAAAAAGGTGAAGACCTGGATGTTTGAGCAGGCGTTTGAGTAATTTAGTGCAATCTGGTAATGGAACATAGGAATGGAACAATGGACGACGAACCTGGACTACGCTTGGATGATGAGAAGATTGGGTACGGTTGTTTTTTGTAATAATTGTGCATTGTAATTGCTTATTGGTAATTTATGGATAATGTGTTAAGTCAATTGTTATATGTTGTATGGAACCACTGCTGTTTCTACTGTTTCTACTGTTTGTGAACCGCTGTGAGTCGCCTTCGGGCTTGAGATACAGCGGTATATAAGCAAAGTAAATAAATAAATAAATATTATTATTATAGTCCCCTTTGGGGAGATGGTGGCGGGGTATAAATAAAGATTATGATTATTATTACTCGGGCCCAACTCTTAGGCAAGCAGACGGGAGGGTGAGTTGCCATGGCTTCTCTCTTCCCGGTCCCTCCCTCCTTCCGTTCCCCTTCCTCACCCACCGGCCCGTTCGTAGCTTCGGCTCCAGGCGTGCTGCTGTCGGGGCCGGACGGGGCAGGGGATGACGAAGGAGAAGGCGAAGACGGCGGCCAGGCAGAGCGAGAGCGCCAGGAAGAAGGCCCCCGCCCGCCACCGCGACAGCCGCTCCTCGCGCTTCCTCCGCGGCGAGCCCAGGCCGGGCGCCACCCCCGCGCAGTTGCTCTCCGCCCCCGACGCCGACGCCTCTTCGCGCTTCAACGGCCGGGCCTCCGTCTCCGCGGGGCCTCCTCCTCCTCCGCCCTCCATCGCGGCTCCTGCGGGGAAAGAGAAGGAGACACAAACACAACACAGACACAGAGACAGAGAGAGAGACCGGAAGCCGAGTCGGCAAGCAGGGCTCCAGAGCGCATGCGCAGCCAAGTGAGGCTACACTCCCCCCGATGGAAACAGCGCGCGCCGGAAGCTTGGTTGCTTCTGCAAAAGGCTGCGGGTTGACGTCACGCGTACGCGCCGGAAGCCAGCTTCTGATGGCCATGGCGCGGGTCAGGGAGGCGCGGCTGCTTTTGCGGAGGTTGCTGGCGGCTCCGCGCGGGGGGAGGAGCCCCTCCGCCCTCGCCGCCCTCGCCGCCCCTCCCCACTGGTGCCCGCCGCCCCAGCCCGGCCTCTCTCTTCGCCCGCGGAGTCCAGCCTGGGCCTCGGCGCGCGGCTGCAGCACCACCAGCGGGGGCAGAGCGGCCCAGAGCCTGGACAAGGAGGCGAAGGAGGAAGAGGAGGGGGAGGAGGAGCAGCCCCTGCGCCGGTTGCACAGCCACCCCCAGAGCCTCCCAGGTGCGCTTCCTCCCGCCAGGCCTGTAGCAAGGGGATGGTTTTAGGGGTTCAACCCCCCCCCCGAAATGTTTCAGATTTTTTTTAAAAAAAACTGAATTTTAACTGGTTAACCAAATCCCCATGCTGCTAAGTCTATGAGATGCAAAAAATCAAGAGTCCCTCCAGAACTGCAAGCATTATCTCAAGCAAATATTGACAATTTAGTCACACTATCATTACTTGCAGCAATAGCCGATGTAGTGAAGCAACCAAGCAACTCATTAAGGAGGCCAGACTTGGTGGAGGTGGTTGACAGGGGTGGAGCTGCAGGCTATTGAAGGTTGCTCTGCCCCCTGCTGTGCTCTTTGCTTCAGCGTGAGCTAGGAGGCAGGTTTCAACCCCCCCCCCCAAAATTTTCAACCCTCCCCGAAATTTTCAAACCCCCCCCCCAAATTGTCAACCCTCCCCAAAAGATTTTTTTCTGGCTACAGCCCTGCCTCCCGCCCCGGATCCTGACCCCATCCCCTTTTCCCCGGAGGCCCCTGACCTTCGCTCCCTTCCCCACAGGCTCCGGCTCCAAGCATGAGTTCCAGGCCGAGACCCGGAAGCTGCTGGACATCGTGGCCCGGTCCCTCTACTCCGAGAAGGAGGTGGGTGCGGACGCCGGCCCTGGGGGACGTTATCATTCATTAATTTACAGTAATACAGAATTATCTTTTAACTCTTATGTGTTTTCCCGTTTTCAATTGTATGGTATTGGTAGCTTTGAGTTGTGTTGGTAGAGTGTTACTTATTTTTCGTATCAAAAGCATTGCACAAATTAGTATAAAACTGATAAAAATAGAAGGCGCACAGGCGGCTAAATATCTTTTGACCAAAAACGGACAACAGCAATAGCATTGTCTGTAGCCTCCAACAATTCTTCCTCTGTACATGAGGCAGGGCATAGTGGACAAGCATACAGATGCAGAGTTGTCTGTCCTGCTCCACAGTCACATAAGGTGTGGGATTCTTTTAGGTAGTGCCATTTTGCCAGGTTGTGATTTGATCTGCCCACTCCACTTCTGAGTCTGTTCAGGGACTTCCAAGTTGCCCATTCTTGGTTTGCCCCTGGAGGAAGACCCTTGTGGGGGGCCATCCAGTTGGGATTTCCTGGTTTAGCTGCCCAAAGGGATACCCTTGTTGCTGGGGGGACGCCAAGGGGAGTGGTAGTTCTCATAAAGCTTTTCCTTGATTTGATTCTACTGGGAGCCATACAGTGGGTGGCTTTCAAAGTATTCAACCTTATTTCTCTCTCAATGTCAGCTAGCTTGTAGATTTTAACAACCAGTGTAGGTTGTGATTATTCTGCATGTTTCATTCAATGCTATGTTCACCTGCTTTGCATGGACAGATCTATGCCAAAAAGGGCAGGGACACTCAGCAGTTGAGTAAAACAAGGGCTGATGTTCTTACTAATTTTGGATCTGCATTGCATAGCTCCACTCTTTTATGGTGCTGTAGTGTCTAGTAATAATGATAATAACAATATTATAACATATTAATTTTTTACCCAAGATGGTACATCAGAGTCAAAACATAATATACGTACAATAAAATATCTAGATACAGCTTCACCATTAAGCATCCTGGGACTCCCTCACAAGCCAAGTCTTGTCCCTCAGGTCTTCATCCGGGAGCTGATCTCCAATGGCAGTGATGCTCTGGAAAAGCTGCGCCATCAGCTGCTCTCTGAAGGGAAAGTCTTGCCAGAGCTGGAGATTCACCTGGAAACGGACCCCCAGGAGGGAACTCTCACCATCCAGGTGCAGAAGGGGCTGCAGGGGCCCTCCTTCCCTCCCTCGGGGCCCTTCAGCAACAAGAGCTGTAGAGGGCCCATTCCCCTCTGGACAATGAGCAAGGGGCGCTAGGATCGATTGGGCCCCTTGGTCTCACTCTGTTCTTTTGCAGGACACCGGGATTGGGATGACACGGGAAGAGCTACTCTCCCACCTGGGGACAATCGCGCGGTCTGGCTCCAAGGTGAAGGCACAGGAGTGCTGGAAGTGGGTTCATCTGTTGCTCTTAGGGTGGGGGTGGGACCTCCCTGAAGCACCGCTGTGCAGCTGGGCAAGGGCAGCCTTGGCAGAGTGTTTCCAGCCAGCTGCCAGTTTTATTTTCGAATTCTCCGATTCATCTTCTTGAACATCTCTGATTTTCCCTAATGGAAATACACACCCAACATGGAAGGGGCGGCAGAATGGGTGAACTGAAGGCCCTTTCCCTCCCCAGGCCTTTCTGGACCTGATGGAAAACCAGGCAGAGGTCGGCAGCAGAATCATTGGCCAGTTTGGAGTGGGCTTCTACTCTGCCTTCATGGTGGCTGACCGGGTGGAGGTTTTTTCGCAGCCAGCCAACCCAGGCCTTCCTGGCTACTGCTGGTGTTCAGACGGGTAAAATGGGGCTTTGCGGAGCAGGGGCCACAGGGATGGGGATGGTGGAAAGCGGTATGTGCTGCTGATCCTGGGCTGCTGTCCCTGCGCTTGAAGGAGCCAAAGCTGGGACTGAACCTTTTCCTTGGAAGCTTCAGTAAAGTGTTTACTGCATGCACAGTGACTGGAAAAGAAAAACATAATAATAATAATAATAATAATAATAATAATAATAATAATAATAATGCCAGCAGAGTGTCTGCTGTGGACTCATCTTGTTGTATTTCAAATAATAGTAATATATTTATTTCTTTATTATCTGCCTTTCGTTGTGACTCCAGTTGGGGTACAATGGCTAATACAGATATATAAACAAAAAACACATATATACACACAGGTAAAATAAAGATTGATTTTCACCAATAAATATAGGTTAAAGTTCACAGACATGATAACACTGATAGAAACCAAATTCTTCAGACTGTGGTGGCTCTGCGGACTTGCGGCCACTGCTTGGATCTGATCACAGGGGAGAGGGTTCATCCTCAGGACTTTTGGTGTGTAGTTTTTGAAAATGGAACTTGTATTTCTGATTCCAGTTCTGGCACCTTTGAGATCACTGAAGCCTCCGGAGTCCAAGGTGGGACGAAAATCATTCTCCACCTCAAAGAGGACTGCAAGGAATTTGCCAGTGAGGAGCGTGTCAAGGGTGAGAGTCCGGGCTCTTTCTGAACATTGTGCTGCTGCTATGGGCCACAGAGAAAGGGGCCTGGGAAGCCTCAGGATCCTGTTGCCCAGGGTCCAGGCCTGTCTCCCTCTCAGGCAGCCCTTCTGGGCAAGGAGCTCTCTCGTTCCATCTATCACAGAATCCTACAGGCTCAAGGGTGGTCAGTGTGGGGAGTCTCTTGAGTGAGGTGGGCCTTCAGAGCCATCTTTTGCATTCCACAGAGATCATCACAAAATACAGCAACTTTGTCAGTTTCCCCATCTGCCTCAATGGGCGACGCATCAACACCTTGCAGGTAAAGAGGGGATGGGATAGTAGCCTAAAGGAGAAGATGGCAGAACTTGTTTCCCTTGCAATTCTGAAGGTCCGTGTCCAAGTGCAGGGAGGTGGGATAGGGGTGAATTCTGGGGCTGAGCTGACTGTCCTTTTGTGGAAACCCTCCTAGCTGCCTTTGGGTCTCTGAGCTCTTGCCTCCCCTCCCCCAGGCCCTGTGGACAATGGATCCCAAGGACATTGGGGACTGGCAGCACAAGGAGTTTTACCGCTTCATTGCCCAGGCGCATGATGAGCCGCGCTACATCCTCCACTACAAGACTGATGCTCCCCTCAATATCCGCAGTCTCTTCTATGTCCCCCAGATGGTGAGCCACCTGGGCAGGGTGCCGAGGGACAGGCAGCAGAGGGACAGACAGATGGGAGAAGGGGGATGGGGAGGCTGACCAGACCGGGAGAGGAGGGGATTGGGCCCTTCTAAGCAGAGCCCCTCCTTGCCTCCCCTTCCCCTCCACTGGTCCCTCTTTCCATCATTTCCCTGCTTTTCTTCATGCTGCACCTTCAGAAACCCTCCATGTTTGACGTCAGCCGGGAGATGGGCTCCAGCGTGGCCCTCTACAGCCGCAAGGTCCTGATCCTGACAAAAGCCACAGACATCTTGCCCAAGTGGTTGCGCTTCCTAAAAGGTAGCCAGAGGCCTTTTGGTGGAGGAAAGGGTCTCCTCCTTTCAACCACAGTTACCTCACACCTTGCCTCCCTTCTGCCACAGGTGTTGTGGACAGTGAAGACATCCCACTCAACCTCAGCCGGGAGCTGCTTCAGGAGAGCACCCTCATCAGGTCAGGAGGGCACTTGGATCTGGGTTCAGGGAGGTGGGGAGAGAGCAACTTTTGGCCCTTCCTGGTGTCAAGGTTTCACTTGGTCTGGTCATGCCATAGTACGGGGTTGTCTGGTGCTCACTTCTCGCTCACCATTGGACCTGGAGCCTCAAGGGACGAGATCCATCGAAGTCCCAGTGGCATGTTCCTGGGAGGACTAAGTAGCCACTTCTTCCAGACTCCACATCCAAGCAAGGCCCCTTGCCCCTTCCCCTCCTGGGCTGGGTCTCATTGCTGGGCCTCCCTCTCCTCCACACAGGAAGCTGCGGGACGTTCTGCAGCAGCGACTGATCAGGTTCTTCGTGGAGCAGAGCAAGAGGGATCCTGAAAAGTATGCCAAGTTCTTTGAGGACTATGGACTGTTCATGCGGGAGGGAATTGTCACCACTGCCGAGCAGGAGGTCAAGGTGTGCTCAGCAGGAGGCCCAGACGGGCAGGCAGCCCCATCCCTCCTGTGGGATTGAACCTGGGGGAGAGGGAGGGAGGTGTCCAGGCAACTGCATGGTGGGCCCAACCGCTCCTGCTGAGGGAACTTTGGCCCTTTGCAGGAGGACATTGCAAAGCTGCTGCGCTATGAGTCCTCATCGCTCCCCGCTGGGCAGCTGACCAGCCTTCCAGAGTATGCCACTCGCATGGCTCCCGGCAGTAGGAACATCTATTACCTGTGTGCCCCCAGCCGCCACCTGGCTGAACGCTCCCCCTACTACGAAGCCATGAAGAAGAAGGCGGCTGAGGTGAGGTGGGCAAAGGGTGCAGGCTCTAGCTGGGGAGGCTCCTGATCTGGAAGTGGACTCTTAGCTGAGCGTCGCCCAGATGCTGAGGGCTCTACCAAGGACTCCCAGGGGGAGGCTGCATTTGGGTGACCCAAGGGAGGAGTGCTCCCTGATGTGACAGTTAGGGAATGAGACACCTCTGCTTTCCCACCTCCAGGTCCTTTTCTGCTATGAACAGTTTGACGAATTGACTCTCTTGCACCTGCGAGAGTTTGACAAGAAGAAACTTATGTCAGTGGAGACTGACATTGTGGTCGATCACTACAAGGAGGAGGCATTTGAGGAGAAGCAGCCAGGTGGGTGCCTCAGAGGCTTGGGAACTAGCTGCTGTGACTTGTCGTGATGCCACCCTCTTGGAGAAGGGTACGGAGCCAGGGCTCCTAGGCTACCTGTCTCTTCCCACCTCTCCTAACTTCTCTTGTGCCTCCCACTGCAGCGGAAGAAGGCCTGAGCCCCCAGGACACAGAAGAGCTCCTGGCGTGGATGAGGAATGTACTGGGCACACGAGTCAGCGCCATCAAGGTGAGGGAAAGCCCCAAGGGATATTCTCCCTGGCTGCTTTCCTGGCTGTTTGCAAGAGATGCACATCTGCCTCAAGGGTCCTGCTGGGGAGACCCCTGTGCCTTGTCTTGCTTACTGACTTCCTTTTCTGTTCTGGTCCCCCATGCCTCCCAGGGCAGCCTCTTCCCAGAGACAACTGCCTCTCTGGCCTGCCTTTGCCTTTCCCATATCCACCTCAGAGAACATGGGCACTTGTGGCCTTGCCTCCTGGTGGTGGTGTGGCTTCTCTTTGGGAGGAGGAGGAAGGCAAAGGGGCTTGTTGGTTGGGGCAGAATAGGGAGGAGGCAACCTCCTTTGGACACAGCTCGGCTTCCCTTCCCTTCTGTGTGCAGGTGACCCCGCGGCTGGACACGCACCCAGCCATGATTACGGTGCTGGAGATGGGTGCTGCCCGGCACTTTCTACGCATGCAGCAGCTGGCCAAGAACAGTGAGGAGCGAGCCCAGATCCTGCAACCCACGTTGGAAATCAATGCGGGGTAAGTATGGAGGGGTAGATGCTGCTGGTGGGGTGGGGGCAGTGGAACATGGCGCAAGGCCTCACCCTCCCCTTTCCCTCCCTCCATCTCAGGCACATTCTGATCCAGAAGCTCAGCCATCTGCGGGCCTCCCAACCAGACCTGGCCCAGATGCTGCTTGAGCAGGTGAGCCCAAACTGCTGTGGGGAGGGATATGGGGCACTGGAAGGAGGTCCCTTTGGGGTCAGGAGTAGCAGCTGCTTCCCTTGGTTTGTGGGGCTCCCAGATTCAGTCCACAATCACCCCTCCACCGCCCCTGAGGACTGCCCTTGGGCTTCTCTTTGCAGAGAGAGATTGGTCATACATTATAGCTCAGGCATTGGCATACTTCGGTCCTCCAGGTGTTTTAGACTTCAATTCCCACTGTTAGGAATTGTGGGAGTTGAAGTCCAAGTTTGTCCATGTTTGTTATAGCCATTCACTGAGTTAAAATCTGACTTACAAATGTTAAGAGCAGGACCAAGACAACAAGAAGTGAGAAAAATCAGAAGAGGCATCTCCCCTTCAGAAGGAAGCGAAATCCACTCCTGAAAGAGTTATTATCTCGGTCTCCAATTAAGTTTTATTCCCAGTCCTTGTTTCCACAACAAGTCACATTTTCCAAAATCCAGTTCTCACAGGGACAGAAAGTGAGGAGAAATCTTCCGAACAGGGGCACAGACAGCCATTCCCTATACCTTGCAAATTTGGATGGAGTTATACTTGAAAACTATCCATTCCGACTTACATACAAATTCAAGTTTAAGAACAAATCTAGGTAAAGGTTTTCCCCTGACATTAAGTCCAGTTGTGTCCAACTTTGGGGGCTGGTGCTCATCTTGTTTTCTAAGTCGAAGAGCCGGCATTGTCCGTAGACACCTCCAAGTTATGTAGCCGGTATGACTGCATGGAGCACCGTTACCTTTCCGCCAGCGCGGTACCTATTGATCTACTCACATTTGCATATATTCGAATTACTCGGTTGGCGGAAGCTAGGGCTAACAGCAGGAGCTCACTCCGCTACCTCTATTTGAACCGGCAACCTTTCGGTCCCCAAGTTCAGCAGCTCAGCAGTTTAATCCATTGCGCCACCAGGGGCTCCTGTAAACTTTTTGTTGTTCATTCGTTCAGTCGTCTCCGACTCTTCGTGACCTCATGGACCAGCCCACGCCAGAGCTCCCTGTCGGCCGTCACCACCCCCAGCTCCTTCAAGGTCAGTCCCGTCACTTCAAGGATGCCATCCATCCATCTTGCCCTTGGTCGGCCCCTCTTCCTTTTGCCTTCCACTTTCCCCAGCATCATTGTCTTCTCTAGGCTTTGCTGTCTCCTCATGATGTGGCCAAAGTACTTCAACTTTGTCTCTAGTATCCTTCCCTCCAATGAGCAGTCGGGCTTTATTTCCTGGAGGATGGACTGGTTGGATCTTCTCGCAGTCCAAGGCACTCTCAGAACTTTCCTCCAACACCACAGTTCAAAAACATCTCTCTTCCTTCGCTCAGCCTTCCCTAAGGTCCAGCTCTCACATCCGTAGGTGACTACAGGGAATACCATGGCTTTGACTAGGCGGATCTTTGTTGCCAGTCTGATGTCTCTACTCTTTACTATTTTATCGAGATTGGACATTGCTTAAAGAACTGATATTGTTTGTCTTTTGGGGATTACCTGTATTCTTCCTCTGTGGCCCAGATCTACGACAACGCCATGATCGCGGCTGGCCTGAGTGACGACCCACGGCCTATGGTCAGCAGGCTGAACCAGCTCCTGGCCAGAGCCCTGGAGAAGCACTGAGGCCCCCAAGAAGGAACCGTGCCTTGCAGAAGGACTGCCTGCCCAGAGAGAGAGAGAGAGAGAAAGAAGCCCTTCTCTATTTAATTCCCTTTCCTTGCCTTCAATAAAGACCCTCCCACTTCTAGCACTTCTGTCTGTCATTGTGGGCGGACGCTCTGGGCAGCCTTCTCTATGGCAGGAAGGGAGGACTGTGCTAGGCCACGCCCCCTCCCCCTATTGCGCATGCGCCCCTCTCAAAACCTAGTATGGGCGACTCGGAGGACGAGTTCCGCCAGCAACAGCAGCAGCGATGCCGGCAGGCGGGGAAGGGCTTGGCTCCCCCCGCGGAAGGGAAGCGGAAGCGTGGCGGCTCTTCCCGGGACGCTTCCTCCAAGCGGCGCCGGAGGGCGAAAGGCGGAGAGGAGGAGGAGGCGGATCTTCAGCTCGCACTGGCACTTTCGCGCTCCCTCCGCCCGGAAGAAGAGGAGGCGGCGGACCGGAAGCAGCGCCCCCTGGAGGCGGAGGCCAGGAAGCGCAGGAAGAAGGGCGCTTCCGGAGCAGGTTATGCTGAGGGGGCGGGGCCAGTGTCAGGGAAGGAAGCAAGGTCTAGACTGAAATGGATCCAGATCAGGCCTGGGCCAACTTGGGCCCTCCAATTGTTTTGGATTCCAACTCCCACCATTCCTAACAGCCTCAAGCCCCTTCCTTTTCCCCGGCTGAGGGGGAAAAGGAAAGGGCCTGAGGCTGTTAGGAATGGTGGGAGTTGGAGTCCAAAACATCTGGAGGGCCCAAGTTGGCCCATGCTTGGTCTGCAACCATCTACCTACAAAAATCAACATTTACTCCAATATAGTCATGCCATCCCTTACCTCTGGAACTTCATATCATGTCAATAATGCTATTTATTTACATTGATTACACATTGGTATTAGGTTGTTTTAGGTTTTTTCGGGCTATATGGCCATGGTCTGTAGGCATTCTCTCCTGACGTTTCACCTGCATCTATGGCAAGCATCCTCAGAGGATGCAAATTGCAAATTTGGATGGAGTTATACTTGAAAACTATCCATTCCGACTTACATACAAATTCAAGTTTAAGAACAAATCTAGGTAAAGGATTTCCCCTGACATTAAGTCCAGCTGTGTCCAACTCTGGGGGTTGGTGCTCATCTCAATTTCTAAGCCTAATAGCCAGCATTGTCCATAGACACCTCCAAGTTATGTGGCCGGTATGACTGCATGGAGCACCGTTACCTTCCCACCAGAGCGGTACCTATTGATCTACTCACATTTGCATATATTCGAATTACTCGGTTGGCAGAAGCTAGGGCTAACAGCAGGAGCTCACTCCACTCCCTGGATTTGAACCGGCGACCTTTCACCTGCCATAGATGCAGGTGAAACGTCAGGAGAGAATGCCTCTAGAGCAGGGGTCCTCAAACTTTTTAAACAGAGGGCCAGGTCAAACTGTTGGAGGGTGGATTATAATATGAAAAAAAACGTGAATGAATGCCTATGCACACTGCACATATCTTATTTGTAGTGCAAAAAAACACTTAAAACAATACAATAATCAAAAAGGAACAATTTTAATAAATATAAACTTATTAGTTATTTCAATGGGAAGTGTGGGCCTGCTTTTGGTTGATGATATGGGATTGTTGTTGTTGTGTGCTTTCAAGTTGCTTCAGACTTAGGTTGACCCTGAGCGAGGGCCGGGTAAATGACCCTGGAGGGCCGTATCCAGCCCCCGGGCCTTAGTTTGAGGACCCCTGCTCTAGACCATGGCCATATAGCCCGAAAAAACCTACAACAACCCAGTGATTCCGGCCATGAAAGCCTTCGACAATACATTGGTATTGTTATTTTATAATTCAAAATGTCATTTATACATTGATATCGTTATTGTTATTTTATAGTACAAAATGTCAATTATACATTGATATCATTATTATTTTATAATTCAAAATGTCAATTATACATTGATATCGTTATTGTTATTTTATAGTTCAAAATGTCAATTATACATTGTTATTGTTATTTTATAGTTCAAAACTTCAATTATACATTGATATCGTTATTGTCATTTTATAATTTAAAACTTCAATTATACATTTATATCATTATTATTTTATAATTCAAAACGTCAGTTATACAATGATATTATTTATTTATTTACGACGTTTATATGCCACCCTTCTCACCCCGAAGGAGACTCAGAGCAGCTTATAAGATATATATACATACAGTATATTATATTATTAGCATAGTAGGTAAAGGTAAAGGTTGTCCCCTGACATGAAGTCCAGTCATGTCTGACTCGTGTGGTGCTCATCTCAATTTCTACGCCGAAGCGCCAGCATTGTCCATAGACACCTCCAAGGTCATGTGGCCGGCATGACTGCATGGAGTGCCATTCAGTATTAAATATTACTATATTATACTATACCATTATATTGTAATATTATTACATGCAAAATAAATATATAATTATAATATATAATAATAACTATTAGTAGTATTATTTTGCATTATATTATAATATTATAAATATATGAATATACAATATATTATATTACATTATATTATATTATTAGCATAGCACAGGTGACAAGGTGGAACTGTCTTCTGGCCCCCTCTCTCTTCACTCTGGCCATTCTTTATATTCTATAATTAAAACCATCAATTATACATTGATATTATTGTTATGTTATAATTCAAAACATCAAGTCTATATTGATATCATTATTGTTATTTTATAATTCAATACATCCATCATGTGTGACCACAAAGGTGCGTTCCTCTGGCTGAAAATCCTGACCAGGGCTTATACTTGGGGTGGTAGGGCTTCTATGACGCACATCCCGCATAAATCCTCATGTTAGGGCTTGTTTTGCAGTTAGGTCTTCTTAGGAGGGAAACAGTATCTGCATTGAGTGCCAAGGGGAGAAAGGTGAGGCATAAATAAAGTCAGCAAATAAATGAATGAAAGAATAAGTGTGAATAAGTCAAAGAATGAAAAAGTATGAATGAATGAATGAATGAATGAATGAATGAATGAATTAGACTACAAATGTGGATTGCGTGATTTTAATGGTGATTGCAATGTTTAAATGTGTAGTTACTTTTTAATTTTAAATCTTCAATGTACTTTTAGCTGTTGTTCAAAGGCATTGAATAGTCACCATATATAAAGCTGCCCTGAGTCCCCTTTGAGGTAGAAAAAAGCAGGATACAAACAGAGTAAATAAATATATAAATATGGCTTTTCTGGCCACTTCAAGGTCCCTGTTCCTTCTCCGGACACAAACATTTCCAGTTCTCTGCATATACTTGATCCGAGACTTTTTGGTTGCATTCATTGTGCACTTTTGAGATTATATTTTCTGTGCCTGTGATTGGCCCCTTCCTGCCAGAATTGGCCTCAGTGCTGTCCTCCCTGACACTAGGCTCATGGCAGCATTGCTCCTTCTCCTTTTTCCTCCTCTTCCTCCTCCTTTATTCTCCTCATCCATTTCCTTCTCCTTCTTCTCTTCCTCTTCCTGGTTCTCCTCCATTTCTCCTCTTTCTTCTCATTCTTTTCTTTCTGCTGCAGGGAGGGGCCACTGCCGGAAGGCCCCCTGCTCTCCGCCTCCACTGCTGCTGCCGCAGGACCCGACCAAGACCCTACAGGAGACGGAGGCCCGTGTAGCTTTGCTGCTGCTGCGCCCCGAGGCAGCGCCGCCACCCCGCACCCCTCCGCTGCCCTCCAGCCGCCTCTGGGAGGCCCAGCAGTCTGGGGAAGGGGCCCCGTGGCCCCTGGGGGCCTGGTGGGGACTCAGTGCCTTGACGGGAGGCTCCCTCCCAGAACAGGACTGCTGTGCTACAGGCCCCATTTTCCAGGTGCTGTTGTTAACGGAGCAGGTAGATTGCATGGGACCAAAGGGATGCTGGGGTTGCCAGAGGTCACGGAGGCCAAGGCAAGCACACCCTTCTCCTTCTCCTCTTCCCAGGGGTCTGAGCCGGAGCCTACAGGGAAGGATTGCATTTCACCAGAACCCAAGCCTCCCCAGGCATGCGATCCAAGCAGGGAAGTGGCCGGCAGCCAGGAGGGGCCCCTGCGGGACTTGGAGGACCTGGCTGGAGAGGGCCTGACCCTCACCCAGTGGGGCCTGGATGCCCAGCGGGGGCCAGGTGAGAGGGGCCCCATCTTTTCCCCTTAGGTCTACTAGGCTTAAGGAGAGAGCCCTCCAGCAAAGAAAGGGGGGCTGGCCTTGGCTGGGTCTGGAGGAGAACTACTACTTTAATGGTCTTTGTATTTCATCAAGGGCAAGAACAAGAGGCACCAGGGGATGCCCCTCAGGAGACGTCCATCCACTTGCAAGAAGAAGAGGGGAAGGTAATAATAATAATAGTAATAGTAATAATAATAATAGCAATTTTGGGGAAAAAACAAAGTATGGATTGTTGATGTTGCAATCCCCAGGTGACAGCAGAATTGACGAGAAGCAACTGGAAAAGCTGACACAATATGAGAATGTAAAGATAGAACTATAAAGACTGGCACAAGCCAGTAAAGGTGGTCCCAGTGGTGATCAGCACACTGGGTGCAGTGCCTAAAGACCTTGGCCTGCACTTAAACACAATCGGAGCTAACAAAATTACCATCTGTCAGCTGTAAAAGGTCACCCTACTCAGATCGGCACGCATTATTCGCCTATACATCACACAGTCCTAGACATTTGGGAAGTGTCCGACATGTGATCCAATACAACAGCCAGCAGAATGATCTGTTTACTAATCTTGTTGTGTTGATGATGATGATGATGATGATGATGATAGCAGTACAGATCCTGTTTTTTTCCAGAACTGAGCTGGTGATGATGATGATAATATCACAATCTGTCAACTGCAAAAGGCCACCTTACTTGGATCTGTGCACATAATTCGAAAATACATCACAGTCCTAAACGCTTGGGAAGTGCTTGACTTGCAATTTTGTGATACAAAATCTAGCAAATATATCTAGTTTGCTGTGTCATAGTGTGTTTTTGTTTCAGAATAATAATTAATAATAATAATAATGGTAAAGATTTCAACTCAGATCTGGGTCTCTGCCTCTGACAGAAAGGAGCTGGGCTCCTGAACATTTGAACCTTACTTTCAGGCCTGGCACACTAACAGTGGCTGTTGAGTTATAGTTGGGAGAGGCTTTTCCTTGGGAAAGGATTCTTTGCCTGCTGTGGAGGTGGGCACTCGAATCCCCCTTCAGGAAGTGGGTCCAGAAGGAGTGGGGACACTGTTGGATCTCTCCCTCTCTCTTCTTGTTTCAGGTCAACTCATTAGCCACTGCCTTTGGGGCCATGGTCAACAATCCCCACCTGAGTGACGTCCAATTCCAGGTGGACAGCGGGGAGGTCGTCTATGCCCACATGTTTGTGCTTTATGCCCGGTGCCCAGAGCTTTTGGAACTTGTGAGTGTTTTGTGGAGGTGGCACAGGTTGGATGCGGCAGCGGTTGCTCAGCCCGTCCTTTCCAGTGAACCCCGTTTTTTCTTTGGAAGTTTGGGTCAGCCTCCTTCTTCCACAATGGCTCTTGGCCCTTCCTTGATTTCTTTCTTCCAGAGTAGCTCTTGACTCTTACTTCCTTCCCTCCTTCTGCCGCCAGGTGGACTGTACAGGGTTTGCCGTGGCTGAAGACGGAGGTGCGGAGACCCGCCGCCTACTGTTGAGTGACGTTCCGGCAGAGGCTGTGACTATCTTCCTGCGGTTCCTCTATGCAGCTGACCCCCGGGTCCCGCTCCACCTGCAGTCCCACGTGGGAGCCCTGGCTGCCAGGTGCGCTCCTCCCTGGTCACTCTCTGCCGGCCAAGGGCCTCCCACAGGCCCTTGGACTATTGAGCCCTGTCCCATGATCCCCCAACCCCTGCAATCAGCTCCCAACCTGTGTCTTTACAATGGACACACTGAGACACAGGAATTTTCCCAGTGATTTATTGCTGCCCACAGTTATGTTTTCTGTTAGTGGGAATAGAAGAGGATTCAGAGAAGGCATGCTTCCCAAAGGAAGCATTGTGCTTTCCTATTTCCTGTGGGCCTCTGTCCTTGCCTTCCCCTTTGCCTGGCCGCCCTCCTTGCAATGAATGACAGCTGTTGTAATGGTTGCAGGTTCGGAGTGCAGGATCTGGTCGCTCTGTGCAGACGTTGCCACGGCTCCCGGGTGGCTGGAGGGGAAGAAGGCAGCCTTGGGAATCCTGGAGGCGGTGATGATGGAGATGATGATGATGTTGAAGGGGAGGACAGGGCTGAGACCTTTGAGGGGCTCCTGGAGTCAATGTGGCTGGAAGAAGAGGAAGAGGAAGAGGCCTTTCTGAACCTGGCAGCCCAAGAGGGGAGCAGCACCAAAACCGTGGACGAAGAAGAACTGGAAGAGATCTACCAGTTTGCTGCCACCCAACGCGCCTCTTCTTCCCGAGGCAGGAGGAAGGAAGGGGAGGGGGAGGAGGAAGCCCAGGGCAAGGACCACCGAGGGGGAAGGTGGCCAGGCCCCTCTGTTGGTTGCCCTCCCTCCAGAGAGGTACTGGAGCCCCCTACTCTGCCTCACCCCTCAGATACTCTCCGGCCAATGGAGAAAGTGCCTGTTGCGGATGCTCCCTTGGGGCCAAATGGGCCGCTGAGGGGGCCTGTTATGGCACTTCGCAGCCCCGCTGCACCTGTGTCCGCCTCCTTGCCAGGCCCAACCAGGAGGGGATCCCCTTCCTCCTCCTCCTTTTCCTCTTCTTCCTCTCCTAAGGTGCCCCGCAGTCATCAGGGGGAAGCCGTCTTTGGTGCAAGGCCTCTGTCTGGGAGTCTGGACCCAATTGTGGTGCTGGATTCAGATGAAGAGCCAGAGCGTGGGCCTTCTCAGGACAGAGACATTGCTGGGGAAGACTTGGTAGTCTTGGGGCTCCTTGGTCCCCCAAGTGACAGCCAAGAGCGGCTGCGGCTGAGCACCAGCGACGAGGAGGGCAGCAGCAAAGGTGGGAGGACGCTTGTGCCGGACACCCCTCTGCCCAGGAAGCCCGGCCAGGCGAGTGATCCTGATGTCAGTGCCAGTCATGGGCCTGAGACTTGGGCAGGTCCCGTGTCGCCAGGGACACCGTCTCCGAAGATCCTGTCTCCCACTTCCTGCGGGCCTCTGCCCTCGTCGCCCCCTTTGCCTGGCAGCCCTCCTTGCTTCCAGGATGAAGTGGTGGTTGTGGATGACAGTGAGGAGGAAGGTGAAGATGGGGGCAGCCCTTTCGCCAGTACAGGAGGGTCAGTGGCTGGAGGATGCAGGAAACGAGGCTGTGGGGACTCTGACAGCAGCGACCCTTTCCCTCTCACCCAGAGGTCCCCGTCACCATCGCCTGCCGGTAAGAAGCCCTGTCTTTCCTCTGAGGACCGTGGAGAGTGTGAGGGCCCTTCTGAGAGCCTCTTCGATGGGTGGGGGGTGGGGAAGCTTCTCACCTGCAGCATCCTTTGCACATTTCACCCAAGGCCCCTGAGTCTAAACGGGGTCTCATGCTGGCCTCTGAGGACCTGGGAATGGCCCAAGAGAAGGTGCTTCTCTGCAGCTTTCTCTCCAATGGCCAAGTGGCCATTACTAGTGAGCAGTGGCCTGTGTCTCTGTGCCTCAGGGATCAAGGCGCCTGTGTCCGATTTCTTCTTCTCCAGACATCTCCTTTCAGCGTGAGGAGAGGGTGCCGCTTCTGCCACCCCTGACCCCAGTCACCCCGATGCCCTCCTACTCAGCCATGGCGACCCCAGAGCTGAAAACGGAACTGAAGAGGTGAGGTTGGTGCCCTCAGGACAGGAGGGTCCAGGCCGTGGGGGAATAGCCTTACTGACAGCTTGCCCCTTTCCCTAGGTTTGGGGTCCGGGCTCTTCCCAAACGCCAGATGGTCCTTAAGCTGAAGGAGATCTTCCAGTTCACGCACCCAGTGAAGAGCGTGAGCGCTGCCTCCCCAGTGGCTCCGCTGCACTGTCCAGCTGGGGCCATCCAGGAGAGCCAGAGGCCAGCCCTGCATGGCTTGCAGAGGGGGCTGCCCGTGGGGCCTCTCCTTGGAAGCAACAGTGATGACAGAGACCGCTCCTCCTCTCCCCCAGCTTCCCAGGCGTCTACTGGTTCCTCTGTGGCCGCCTCCAACAGGTATGGAGCTGCGCTTCTTGGGACCAAAAGAGGCTTGCGGGGGAAAGGCGCTGGCTCCTTTGGGGAACCTGCTTTTCCTTAAGAATTAGTTTTTGGTGGCCGGAGAGCGACCTCACACTTCCTTCTTCCTTCCTCAGTTCTTCTTCGGCAGAGTTTGAGACCACCTGGCTGGAAGAAGAGGAGGAGGAGGCAGCGGCGTTGATACCGGCCTCTCAAGTTCTCACCCGTGAGGAGTCCAATCTGGAGGCCTTCCGACGCCACATCCGCTCCTCGCCAGCCCTTTGCCGTCGGATCCTGCTCTACCAACCCATTGAGCTGGCTACGCTGCAGGCAGAGCTGAAGCAGAGCGGGGTCAGGATCGCAGCAGGGAAGCTGCTAGACCTCCTGGATGCCCACGGCATCACCTTCACTACGGCTGAGGCGCGGAGGGAGGTCCGCGAGAAGAGAGGACTGGCAGGGAGGTGCCGGAAGCGGAGGTGATCAGCATCATAGGACGGCCAGGATAGGGCCCTCCTGTGGACCAATGTCACTCTATATAACTATTTATTAAAATGCCCTATATGTCAATGTCCCTGTATTATTATTCTCTATTAGATAGCTCTATGTCCCAGTGTCACTATATTACTAAACTGCCCTATGTGCCATCGTTCCTATTTGCAGTTATCCTATATTATAACATCCTATGTGGCAATGTCACTAAAATATTCTTTATTAGAAAGCCCTGTGCCATCATTCCTGTGTGCCAATGTCACTATATTACTATTATTAGAAAGCCCTATGTGCCAACACTCCTCTGTGCCAATGTCATTCTATATTATTCTTTATTAGAAAGCCCTATGTGCCACTGTTTCTCTGTGCCAATATTAGTCTTATTTATCAGAATTTATTATTAACTAGCTGTACCCGCCACACGTTGCTGTGACCAACCTTCCCTCTTTCTCTCCTTCTTTCCCTCCTTCCTTCACTCCCTCTTTCCTTCCTGCTTTCCCATCTTTCCTTCTCTTTTCTTCGTTCTTTCCTTCCCTTTTTCTTTCTCTTCTGCTCTTTTCTTCTTTTCTTCACTCCCTCTTTCTCTACATCTTCCCCCCTTCCTTCGCTCCCTTTCCTTCCTTCTTTTCCTTTTTTCTTTCCTTCTCTGATTTTCCTTCCTTCCGTCCCTTTTTTTCCCTCCCTCTTTCTCTCCTTTCTTCCTTCTCTACCTCTTTCCTTCCTTCCTTCCTTCTCCCTTTCCTTGTTTCTTTCCCTCCCTCTTTTATTTCTTTCTTTCTCTTCTCCCTTTCCCTCCCTCTTTCTTCCCTTTTTTCTGTATTGTCATTTAGCTTTCCATCATTTAGCCTTTTGGAGCTTTTTAAGTCTCTTCTGCTGCGTTTTGCTGTGTTTTTATGAGTGAAGGACATACATTGGGTTGTTAGGTGTCTTGTGTCCAAATTTGGTGGCAATTCGTCCAGTGGTTTTTGAGTTCTGTTAATCCCAAAAACGAACATTACATTTTTATTTATATAGATTAGAATTAGCAGGGTGAACTACAACTTCCATCCTGTTAAGTCAGTCCCCAAACTCCTGTTTGATGTGTGCCATAGGAAATGGTAGGAAAGGGTTAAGCGAGTCAGTGTGTGGGGGTCATGCAAATTCTACACCAATTGAGAGCGAAAGGAACCCTGGGATGTGGCGCTTACGTTAACCTGCAGTGTACATTGGAGGGAGGGCATTAGTGTTTCCTGAATGGTGGAAAGTATCGCTCTTTGTGGACTCAGGAGTATGTGTAAGTAGACACCTCCGCCACATACACATTTTTCACTTTTATTATGCGTATAGATAGATTAGAATTCCTTATGTTGTTCCTGTTTATCAGTAGAGCGCTCAGGCTTCAAAAGTGCATTATGTGTGAGTTGGAGGCGGTGTTGGAAGTCAGATGTGAGACATTTATTTATTTTGTATCAAAAGCATTGCATAAATTAGTTAAAAACCGATAAAAAATAGAATAAGCACAAGCAGCTAAATATCTTTTAACCAAAAATGGGGAACAGCGATTGCACTGTCTGTAGCTTCAAACAACTTTTCCTCTGTACATGAGGCAGGACATTGCGGACAAGCATACAGATGTGGAGTTGTCTGTTCTGCTCCACAGTTGCACAAGGTGGAGGATTCTTTTCGGTAGTGCCATTTTGCCAGCTTTTGATCTGCCCACTCCACTTCTGAGGTGAGGCTGTCCAGCGACTTCCAAGGAAGAACCTCATGGGGAGCTATGCAATTGGGATTTCCTGGTTAAGCTGCCCAGAGGGATACTCTTGCTATTGCTGGGGCAGAAGACCTTGGGAATTGGTTCTGCTCTTTGAGTGCTGCCTTAGGTAAATTAAGGCACCTGAACTGGGCCTTAGAAAGCAGAGCCTTGGGCCCCTCAGGGGCCACCATGAGCTGTAACGGGAACTAAAGAAGGAAGCATAGAATCATAAGAGTTGGAAGAGACCTCGTGGGCTATCCAGTCCAACCCCCTGCCAAGAAGCATGATTTGTGCTCATCCACAGCCGTCTAGCCACCTTCATGCCAGTGTCATTTTCCCGCAGCCACCAAAGAGACAGAGGCAATGAGGCTCCTGATTGGCCAAAGATGCCTGCCTTTAGGAAACAGCAGTCTCGGGCGCTTGGACATATCTGGAAGGCGGCCCCCATTTCTTCTGGACTTCTTTCCGGGAGGACCTTGCATTGGGATCAAGCAAAGTTGCTTTGAGGTCGTCCTTCATTGCCATCCCTTAAAAAAAAAAGTTTCAGGATAAAATCCCACAAAGGTGAAGCATTTATTCCATCCAGCGCTCTCTCTTGTTCGCTTTATGGGGCAGTGACCCTCCTGGACCTTTCAGAGGGGTTTCAGCTCAAGAGGAGGAAGAGGAGAAAGGCCGGGCTCTGGAAGCACAGGGATGATCCAGGCCTCCTTACCCAGAACATGGCTCTGAGAGAATAAATAAGACCTAAAAACATTCTTACACGGGTTTCAAAGAACAGAATCCATGTTAAAAACTTCAGTAATTTATATCACTTTTAAGCAATACTATATATACAATGGAAAAAAGAGACATGCATAGTCCAAATACAATGTTGAAAACAGCATTTTTCATAACAAAAAAAAAAAGTCCCCAAACACTCAGTTAATAACATGTACATGGATTCAAGGACCACCCTCTTTGTCTGTTGCACACCGTTTATTGAACAATATGCCTAAGAGAAGTAAGAAATGAGTCCGTCCCCCCTCCCCAGTCTATACAGTGATTGAATCTTGGATTTCTTTAAATATTTATAGGAATTTGAGAGCTTGCATGATTTACACTAGAATTGCTTTTTCTCGTTTCAAGTTTCACGTCAAAGAATTAAAGAAAAGAATATATTTCTTCCCTGTTAAAATATGAATGGGCCCGGAAATGACCGTCCCTCTTCCTCTCTTTCCTTTTATACATCCAAAACTAGTCTTTCCCCAGATACGAAGCTATAGGTTTTGCGTCGGCAACAAAGGCTGTGTGCGCGTCTGCGAGTCTGCAAGAGCCGATTCCTATCTGTTCTGAGGGCAATTCATAATAATTAGAATAATAATAATACTTTCGGTCGCCTGCAGAGCTCAAGACGGAACGGGAAAGAAACCTTTCGATCGAAAAAAAGAAGAAGGATGTGTCAGGATGTGGCATTTCTGGATATCGGTTTTCTTCTCCATTAAACGCAAACGCTTAGTCTTGAAATTGCAAATAAAAATATGGATATAATGGACTAATTCCCCCCCTTTTTAAAAAGCAATAGTCAACAGTAACAACAAAACTTTAAAAAAAGAAGAAGAAAGAAACCCACAACAAGAACAACAAAAAGAAGAGCCATCCGTTGGCTTTAACAAAAAATATATATTCTTTGTTTTGAAACGGGGGCCAAGCAATGGGTCCTTCCCGATGGGTCCAAACAGAGCCTCCTCCTCTTCCTCCGAGGCCCCCCATTCCTCTTCCGGCCCAAAAGGGTCCAAATGGAAAGCCGAGGGGGGGGGGGCTACAAGCCCTCCACGAACTTCTCCAGCGTGTCGCCCCCCGAGGCGTCCCCCCCAACCAGGGAGAGGTCCCCCGGCAGGACGCCCCGGTTGGGTGGGTTCAGCTGGGGCAGCATGGCGCTCTGCGTCTCGGGGGGAGGCCCTCCCCCCAGGTGCCCCGGGTCCAAAGGCCCCCCTGCCAGCCCCGGTAGCGAGAGCGGGGAGCCCGTCTGCGGGGAAGGGGCCACACGGGGGGAGGGGCTCGAGTGTGGGGGAGGGGGCTGTGACTGGGGGCGCGGCGACTGGACTGGGGCCGGGGAGCGCACCTGGCCGCCATGGGGGGGCTGTCCAGGGTGCAGGGGGGGTGCGGGCCCCGTGGAGCTGGGGGGCTGTCCGGGAAGCAGGTGCCCCTGGGGGCTCATGGGGTTGGGGGGCCCCCCAGGGGAGCCCATCAGAGGGGGCACAGGCGGGGGCTTCATCTGCTGTTGCTGCTGCTGCTGCTGGAGAAGCCGCTGCTGGAGGGCCTGCTGCAGGCTCGGGCTACCCTCGGGGCCCAGAGAGTTCAGGGGTCCCATCGGCCCCATAGGCAGGGAGAGGTGCTGCTGCTGCATCCGATGCTGCTGCTGCTGCTGCTGCTGCTGTTGCAAGGCGGCCTGGGAGTATCCCACGGGGCCGGTGGGCTGAGGGAATTGGCCATGGGCCCCCATCCCGGGCACCCCCTGCTGCTGCTGTTGCTGCTGTTGTTGCTGGAGCAGCTGCCTGCGCAGGATCTCCCGGTACTGGGGGCTCATGGCGGCCATGCTGGGACCGTGGCCGCCGCCAGAGTTCATGAGGCTGAGGGCCTGGCCCTGGGCACCAAGGGCCCCCATCCCTTGTTGCTGGGGAGAGAGTCCCGGCCGAGGGACCCCTGCCGCCATGGTGCCCACGTTCTGCAGGCCCGGCTGAGCGTGGAGCCCCTGTGGGGGTGGAGGAGGCTGCTGCTGCTGCGGTGGTGGCTGCTGCTGGAGGGCTCCGGCCTGCGGGGGCTGGAGGCCCGGCTGGCTGGCCACGTACTTGGCTGTTCGCTGCTTGATGAAGGCAGCCATCAGCTGTGGGTTGGACTTTAGGATGTTGAGCACCTGCTGCTGCTGCTGGGGGGAGCTGGGGGACTTGAGGGTCCGGAGCAGCTCGTGCAGGGCGTTGGGGGCGATGCTGCGGGAGGGGGCTGACTGCGCACCGCTCATCCGAGGGACGCCCACTGCCTGTGGCTGCTGCTGCTGAGGAGGCGGCTGCTGCTGGGGAGGCATCGGGAGGACCGGCCGTGGCATCCCTGGCTGCAGGGGGGCTGCCTGGGCCATGGGGGCGGCTGAGGACCACTGGCCGGAACCCAAGACGGGCATCATGGGGCCGCTGCCAGCCGAACCGGGGCGCGCCACGCTCAGGCCAACTGGTGGGGGTTGTGGAGGCGGGAGCTGCTGCGGAGGCTGCTGCTGCTGCTGTTGTTGCTGGAGGGTGTTCAGGGCGCTGAGGGATGCAGGGCTGACCAGGCCGAGGCGCCCAGGGGGTAGGCCGTTGCTGCTGACTCGGTAGAGCTGCTGTTGCTGCTGCTGCTGCTGCTGTTGTTGTTGTTGCTGCTGCTGTTGTTGTTGCTGCTGCTGTGCAGCCTCGATCTCGATCTGCCTGGCAGCCTCCACAGCTCCAGGGGGTGGCTGTGGGGGCAGTGGGGGGCCGGGCACCTGGGGGGCAGGCTTCCCAGATGAGAGGGGGGCCGGTGGCAGCGGGGGACCCTGAGTCCTGCCGGGGAAGGCGGCCGTTGCCATGCTGACGGGGGAGGGCTGGGGCGGGGTCTGTGGGGCGCTGGGCGGCTGCTGCGTGGGAGTCCCGGGGGTGGCTGAGGTAGGCGAAGGCAAGCTCTGCTGTTGTTGCTGTGGCGGTTGCTGTGTCTGCGGAGGCACGCGTGTTGACATGGTGGCCATCCTTCGGCGCATGAGCTGGGCCTGCTGCAGGCGGTGCTGGATCTGCTGCTGGCGGAGCTTGTGCTTGATGTTGAGGCAGAAGGGCACGGGGCACTTGTTCTCCTGGCAGTGCTTGGCGTGGTAGCAGCACAGGGCAATCAGCTGCTTGCAGACCGGGCAGCCACCGTTGGTCTTGCGCTTGCAGCCCTTGGTGTGCTGCACCACCCGCTTCATCTTCTGGCAAGAGGGCAGCGAGCAGTTGGCGTTGCGGCACTGGCAGGCGTGCACCAGGGACTGGATGCAGCGCTGGATGCTTAGCCGACGCGACTCCTGGGGGCTCTTGGACTGCGCCTCGCCCTGGCCGCTGCCCCCACCGTCGTCGTCCAGGCCCAGGCCCCACTTGACCATCTTGTGCTCGTGGTTCTTAGCGTTGTAGCAGTTGATGCACAGGTCGTAGTCCTGAAAGGCAGGAGGAGGCGTGTGAATGTGCTGACGAAGACTATTTGGACCCCACTTTCCCCCCTTAAGCCAGACTCAATATACACAAAAGAGAGGAACCAATGCACCTCCAACCCAAAGGCAGCCAAGCAAGGCTCAGCTGAGTCTGCCTTCCCAGAGCTCCCCCTGGTTTCCCCTCAGTTGCCTCAGACTAGCCACTGCCCCAAGGTGGGAGATCTGAGCCTGGGATCCAGTTGCGCTGTGTGTGGCAAAGAAACCCAAGCAAAGGGAGGCCGCAAAGGGCCTCCCCCACCAAAACTCCCACAGGCAGCCCATTCCAGGAAAACATCCTGAGCAAGGAGAGCGACTGTGTGCATGTCCTCCAGAGCTCCTTCCCTCAGAGGGCCAAGCAGAGCCCCCCTTCCTACTGCTGCTGCTCACCTCACAGACGGTGCAGTGCCAGCGCGTCTCGACATGGTGCCGGCACTCATTGCAGGTGTAGACAAAGCGGTCCTGGCCCTGGGTGTGCAGCTCCACCAGCATACAGAGGGTAGACCACTTGGAGCGCCGCAAGGAAGAGAACTCCCAGTGCTTGTCCCGGGCCAAGGTCAGGAAAGCATCGCGGCCATCCATCAGGTCGCAGCTCAGCATCGGATCCGGGTCCACGATGGGTGGCAGGGTGTTGACCACAGGGCCGGCATGGAGGTGGATCACAAAGAAGACCTGGGGGGGGGGGCAGGGGGTGGTCAGAGAGTCCTGCTGAAGTGGGCAAAGTGGGAGATGGGGTGCGCTGCGCTACCTTACAACTGGGGGCTGGAAGGAGGAAGGGGAGTCCTCTGGCCTCTAAAACACTGCCCTCCCCCCTCCCAAGTGAAGCTGACTCTGGCCCACTTTCTCAAAGCAAGGCCTCAGGTCTCTTGTAAAGATGTCATCCACTGCTATCTCAAACACATTACTCATCCAGGTGCACTTAGTTTGGATGCACAGCTTGCTGGGACTGTTGCGACATCAAAATACCCTGAAAGATTTTCTAGAAATCCCAGCCACAGTGAGCCCGGCTGGCTTCCAAGGGGACCCCCCAAGGCCCTCCCCCCACTTCCCGTCCCTCCTCTGCTTCCTGCTGTACCTCCTTGTGCTTCTCCATGGTGGCATAGAGCTTCTGCGAGAGGTCATTGGAGACATTGGGCAAGGTGGGCTTCTTCTTGTTGGCCCTGCTGATGCTGCTCTTGTTCTTGTTGGTCTTCTTGTTGTTCTTCTTCTTGGCATTCTTGCTGTCCCCTTGGCTCCCCTGCAAAATGCCAGCAGGCTGCTCTACTTGCCACGCACCGTGCCATTTAGTCTCAAAGAGCCAAACCCTTGGCCTTTTCTGGGCATAAGCTACTCCATGCTTTCCAAAACTTATATACATAAAATACTGATAATAATATTGCAGTGTAATACAATATTATACTAATAATAATACAATAAAATATTTGTATATTATATATTACATGTAATATTACTAATATTGCAGTATAGAGGTATAGTACAATATAGGAATATATAATACTAAGATTGTACTATGCTAACAATATAATATATTGCATGTATATATAATATTCACCATAGTACAGTATAATATGAATAATAATACAATATTATAATATAATATTTGTATATTATATATTACATGTAATATTACTAATAATATTGGCAGAATATCCAGGTACTTTCAGTATAGTGGTGTAGTTCAATATAGTAATATATCATACTAATATTGTACTATGCTAATAATATAATATATTGCATGCCCATATAATATTGACCATTATATTATAATGTAATACAATATAATACAAATAATAGTACAATATAATATAATAATAATAATAATAATAATAATAATAATTGTATATTATAGATATATTACATGTAATATTACTAACAACATTGGCAGAATAGCCAGGTACTTTCAGTATAGTGGGGTAGTTCAATATAGTAATATATAATACTATTATTGTGCTCTGCTAATAATACAATATATTGTATATACATATGATTTGTAAGCTGCTCTGAATCCCTTTCAGGGTAAGAGAGGGTGGTGCATTACTAACAACATTGGCAGAATAGCCAGGTACTTTCAGTATAGTGGTGTAGTACAACATAGTATATATATAATACTAATATTGTGCTTTGTTAATAATATAATATATTGTATGTCCCCTTCAGGGTAGGATAGGGTGGTGTATAAATATAGTAAATAAATAAACAAACAATAGAGAAAGTACCTGGATATTCTGCCTTGTGTCAAGGGAAGGGAGGGAGGGAGGGATGGAAGGAGGGAGGGGGGTATAGGGAAGGGAGTGGGGTGCCAGGGAAGCTCCACCACATTCCTCTCCAAGTCTCCCAATCTCTTGCTGTCCCTTGGCTCCTTGGCAAGGCACAGCAGGAGGCCACTCAAGCTGCCCTTTGGCCTCTGAAGGCCAGACCTCCAGCCCTCCCTCCCTAACCCTGGCCTCCCATCCGGTCACCTCTGTTGTTTCCCCGGAGGCGCTGCTCTCTTCCTTCTTCCTCTCTTCCTCCTCCTGCTCTAGCTCCTTGATGCTTTCTTCCAGCACATTGGGCCAGAAGTCGCCCTCAAAGTACGGCAGCTCCTTGGCACTGGTCAACCGGTCCTCCGTTGCCTGCTTGAAGATGTCCTGTGGAGAGAGTGGTCCTCTGCGTCTTTAACACGTCCAGTGTGGGGCAGTCACTCCGTGGCACCAGGCAGACCGCCCCTGCCCCACCCGGCCCCTCCAGAACCCCACCTTGTAGTCGTGGATGATGCGCTCCGCAAAGGCCTTGTCCAGCATTTTCTTGTACCACTCTTGCAGGCGCTTGGGCTTCGGGATCTTCTGGTCGGGAGGGTGGCAGTGGAAGATGTAGTCGTCCCCTTCGCTGGGAGGGCAGGCCCAGATGTGGCCCGTCACGTACCTGCAGCGCATCAAAGCAGGAAGCCCTCTGGTCAGTCCCTTTCACCCTAGTGTGCACATGAACCCCCCGCCTCCCTCTATGTAACAACAACAACAATTGGGTCGCTTTGAGTTTTCTGGGCTGTATGGCCATGTTCCAGAAGCACTCCCTCCTGATGTTTCACCCACATCGATGGCATCTTGTCTGTTGGAGGCAAGTGTGAATGTTGCAATTCACATTAATCAAGGTGTCCAACTGCAACATTCACACCTCCCTCGAGCAGACAAGAGTCCTTTCTCCCACCCTGGACATTTCCACAGTTATATAAACTCCACTTGCCTTGTATCCAACAGACTTCACAACCTCTGAAGATGCCTATCATAGATGTGGGCGAAATGTCAGCAGAGAATGCTTCTGGAATATGGCCAGACAGCCCAGAAAACTCACAGCAAACCAGTGATTCTGGCAATGAAAGCCTTCGACAACACAACAATAACGATTTTATTCTTATACCCTGCCACCATCTTGGGGTGGCTTACATATGGGACTGAATGTCCACAAGACACCAAAGCAAAAAAAAAAAATCCATTAAAACAAAAAAATAATTAAGGTAAGAACATAATGAAATATATCAATCCAGATATGCCTCCAATTTGGGGGAATTAGCGTCGGGGAGAGAGGAGGAGGAGGCACCAATAGGCCAAGCTGCCAAGGGACCCCCCAATAGGACACTCACCCCAGTTTCCTAACGTACTCCAGGTACCCAATGAGGATCTCATGGTATACTGCGGTTCGGAGGCATCTTGGGCGGAAGAAATGGATGCTGTCCAAGTAGGAGATGTAGACGCGCCTGCAACCAGAGATCGGAGGTGGTGGGGGGAGGCTCAGCCAAGGATGGAGGGAGAAAGCAAGGACGCCCCCTGAGGGCCACAACATGCGGGGCCACTCCAGGGTCCCTGCTGTCTTTCTCCTCAGGGAAACCATGGCCCTCTTCTCTTACCAGACTAGTGAGGGGACAGAGAGCAGGAACAGACGGAGGGAGGGAAAGGTGGGGCCTCCCACCACTCCCCGAAGCCTCACCTGGTGTTTGGAGGGGGGCAGTCCCAGCCGTACTCCTGGACATGCATCCCAAAGAAACAGACGTCTACCCCGTCAATCTCCTCAAAGGCAAAGAGGGCCTTTGTCCGGTAGGGAAAAGACTCAGACATCTCTCGAGAGTCAACAAACCTGTAAGGAAGAGCGGTGTTTGAAGAAGGAAGGAGCCGGAGCCTTAGAGGCTTCTGCGATTGCCAAGGGCAAACCCTGAGCCTTTTGGGGGCTGAATGACCTCCCCACAATCAGGTGCGCATGGGGTTTGCACCATACAGTCGGTCTTCATAGCACTGAGCCCAAGTCAAAGAGGAAGCTCCGCTTGGAGGGAGTTCATCTCTCATTCAACTGCATTGACTCCATGCTATGGGATGCAGGGATTTGTAGTTTGGGTCAGCCTGAAGGCCTTGCAACATTACATCCCCCAGGTCTCCATAGCATTGAACCAAGTGCATTCATCCTATAGCAGATTTGCAGCCCAAGGTTTCCTTTTTTCCATTGTTTTGGTGCTCTAACACTTTGAGTTTTAAGGAAGGGACTCTAAGCAGGTGGCCGCCGGTCATTCAGCAGGCATCCTTTTTGGAGTTTCTGGGTTTTGAGTCAATGCAACAAGAGGGTGTTGGGAGATAGGTTCGTGAAGTGACTTATAGTTTTCCACTCATGACCTCCCAGGACAAAGCAGTGACACAGAGGCAAGTAAAACCTAGCAGAGTCCATTCACAGCAGAAACGTTGAGCCAACTAGTTAGCCAGCTGGTCAGCATAGTACAACGGCAATGCCTGACCTTCTCCACAAGCTGTTTAGGAAACCCACAGATTTAGTTTTTCACCCAAAAACCATCAGGAGACTTTAATCTTCACCGCTGCACTATTTACACAGTGGTATAATCAGAATGCATGGATTCACAATCAGATTTGCACTTACTTATGACATGTGTCGTGTGTTTTATAATTATTTTGGATATGTTGTGGTTCAATGGTTAGGCCTTTTGCTATGTAATGTTTTTGTTTACATGTTCACTGCTTTGGGTCCCAATTGAGGAGAAACCTGGGTTCCTTCATTTCTGTGCAGGGAGAAGTCTGGCTGCTGTGATTATATATTGCAACAGTCTCCTGCAATCCTTTAACTCACTCAAGTTTCTGAATCATCATAATATGCATTTGCCCTTGGAAGAATCAAAGAAGTTGCCCTTGTGTTTCCCTATGACAATATAATAAACCTGTGCATCGAGGGCGACTTCTTTGAATCTTCCAAGTGCAAATGTATATGATGATTCAAAACTTTCTGGGGTAAAAAAACCAGTTCAAACCTGAGACTTTTCTGCTTAGAATGAGTTAAAGGACTGCAGGTGACTGTTGCAATATATGATCACAGCAGCCAGTCTGCTCTCTGCACAGAAATGGAGGAACTCCACAGCACCAACAAAAGCCTGGATGATGAAAATGGGGGACTTGGCCAAGATGGATAAACTCACTTGCTTATTAAAGGAAGGGACACTGCAAGCATTTTTGAATGATTGGAAATCTTGCATTGACTTTTTACATGAAGAAGAAAGGGATTTGCAAATTTTAACTTTTGAAAAAACAAAATGATTAAACAGTAAGAACCCGGGAGGGAGGTGCCTATATTATTTGTAGCTGAATGAAGATCAATCAGAATTCAACTACTTTTCTTTTTCTTATTCTTTTTCCTATGCTTTTTTCCTGTGTTTTTCTTTGTTTTTTGCACCTTTTATGTTTCATTCTATAGTTCTTAATACTATATTCTCTCAGATTTCTCCCTTTTTTCTATTTTCCTTTTAAGGTAGCTTTTAAAATTGTTAGGGAGAGGGAGAGGGTCTTCCAAGGGCAAAGCAGTTTGGTTTGTACTTGATTCGAAGCAGTGACTTTGCATCTTCCCCAAAAGGACTGACCCTGGGACAGGCCCCCAAGTGCTGCCCTTCGCCTCCGGTTTTCTTGCTGGAGCCAAACAGGGGGGAATAAAGGCCCAGAGGCAGATGGCGGTACTGACTCCTTCACCGCACAATTGGAAGGAAGCGAGCCCAAGGCACTCACCGTGACTTCATCCCCGGCTTCACCTCCACTGTCTTATCGGAGCTGGCCACGACGCGCACCGAAACCTCCCCAGCCTCCGGATGGTTCTGCCGCCGCAGGAACTTGTTCACCCGCTCCTCCAAGTGGTTCCCCAAACGGGTGGCCTGCAGCCCTGATGGAAGGAGGGAGGCAGGCCATGAGAATGCATCTGCTCTACAGAATCCACACAGCTTGAAACCACTTTAATTGACGTAGCTCAATGCTAGAATCAGGTCGTCTACGAATGATTTAGCACCGGGTTCCCCGCGAACGTGCGTTGCGCTACGGGCGAGAGGCGGCCCCCTTCCACTGGACTTGTGGTTTCACAAGGTCTCTACCCTTCTCTGCAAAAAAGTGCTGGTGCCTCACCAAGTGGTGTCAAATAGCTTTAATTTGACAGTTTAGTTCAGGCATGGGCAAACCTGGGCCGAACTTTGCTCATGCCTGGTGTAGTTGAAGTCCAGGTTAATTATGTTGTTGTAGGGCTTGCGTCTATAAAAGCTTAGGTTACCAACGTTTCCCTCTCAGTCTCAAAGGTAGTGTATAGGCCTTCTAGGTGTGTTGCTCTATCACACTGGTTCCCAATCCATGGGCTGTGAGACCTAAAATAAAGTCCATGGCCGGGGGMGTGTGCTGCCATTGGTGGAGAGTGAGAGAGAGAAGGAGAGGGAGAGAAAGAAGGAATGAAGGAGGTCTCTRGTGGCTTCCCTGGCAGCGTTGGAAGAGAGTGAGAGAGAAGGAGAGTCCCACGAAGTTGTTATTATTATTATTATTATTATTATTATTATTATTATTATTATTATTTTACTGACACAAGACCACAGTATGTCACAGCAAAAGAGATCTATATGCTTGTTTTCATATCACAAAATCACAAGTCGAACACTTCCCAAGCGTCTAGGACTGTGTGATGTATTTTTGAATGATGCGTGCAGATCCAAGTAAGGTGGCTTTTTGCAGTTGACAGATCGTGATTTTGTCAATTTTTATTGTTTCCAAATGCCGGGTGAGATCTTTTGGCATGGCACCCAGTGTGCCAATGACCACTGGGACCACCTGTATTGGTTTATGCCGGAGCATTTGCTATTATTATTATTATTATTATTATTATTATTATTATTATTATTATATTAATATCCATTGCCACACATCAGTTATAATTGGAAAGCTGTTCTTTGTAATACTGTTTAGTACCCCGTAGTAGTAGTAGTAGTAGTAGTAGTAGTAGAAGAAGAAATAATAATAATAATAAACTTTATTTATACCTCGCCACCATCTCCCCAAAGGGGACTCGGGGCGGCTTACATGAGGCCAAGCCCAACAGTACATTACAGTAAAATAAACCAAGACAACAATACGTACAATACAATTAAATCAATAAAAACATAAGAATACAATAAAAACAGCACAAACTAAACACAATGTAAAATCAATCCCAAGGGCACGCCACATGTCCAAGTTAAAATAATAAAACTCAGGATGAGATAGAGATAAAGAAGAAGTAGGAGAAGGAATCGTGGAGACAGGCCTTCAAACAGGGAGGGGGAAGTGCAATATAAAGTGCAATATGAGAACAAACCTTATGGGAGGAACAACAAAGGGAATATCATATCACTCTCCAAAGGCGCAACGGAAAAGCCAAGTTTTGAGATAAACTTGTAGTAGATAAACTAGTAGTAGTTTTTGTTGTTATTATTATTAGCTCCCATTGCCACAAATCAGTTGTAATGGGAAACCAGCCCTTTGTAAGACCATTTAGTCCCCCAAAGTTTGTTGCTGTGGTTGTTATTATTATTATTAGCAGCTCCACTTTTTGTATTCAGCCCCCTCCCCTACTTTTTTTTACATGTGTGTTAACAAAATCCACAGATAATAACACAGCCCCACCACACATTTTTTTTCTTAGTGTTTTTGTTTTTTTAGGCCTGTTCCTGGGGTTATTTGGGGTGCTGATTCAGAAAATTGCATTGGATAAACCACATCAGCTCTAGCTTATTACACATGGTTTTCTGTGGGTGAGCAGATGGCAACGACTGGATGGCATATGTTCTGTATCAGAAACTTGAGCTGATGTGGTCTATCCAATTTAATATTCTGAATCAGCACCTCAAACAACCAAACTGAATCTAAAGTTGACCAAAAACTAATTCGTAACCCTTTCGGTACTAATGTTGGGAGAGTGGTCCCTGTTCAAAAAAAGGTTGGGAAATAGTGCTCTTATCAGATCTTAGCCCAATTCCTTTTCTTTGGGGAGGGGGGAGGTGAGGTCATCTGCCAATGAGGCCACTGTGATTCCGGGCTCTGCAGTCCAGGAAACAGATCCCCTTATGTTTTGCTCCCCACAACTATTGACATCCCTGACCAGACAGCAGACAGTGCGTGGGTGTTCAATGGCAAAACAGCTGAAGAGCCCCAGACTGGGAACAGGGGGTCCCTCTGAACACTTTGTCCCAAGGAGACTGGCAGCCCTGCCCAACCAGGGGCCTCACCCTCCCACCATCCTCCCTGGTTTAAAAATAAGAGAGGTCCAGTTGCCAGGCGCAGACCCCCCACTTACTTTTGGCACTGAATTTGTTCTCTTTACGGGTTCGGCCGGTTTTCTTCAAGCAGTTGTCACAGACAAAACTAAAAAGAACAACCAAAGTTTGAGTTGGGGTGAACCTGTTTCACCACCACACTGGCAATAATAGCAATCATCATCACCATCATCAGCACTATCATCTATCTTCTATGTATATAATAAAAGTTAAACTACATATGAACGTACCTAGCTATCTATGTATTTTCCAAGATCGCTCCCTCATCCACAGAGCCCTCCGACTCCCGCCAATGATACATCTGGGCCAAACTTGCCATACAGACCCATCATTACCATCTAAACATACTGGTGCGGTTTGAGGGGAAATGATCATTGATGACTGAAGTTATAGTTCACCCACAATCTCAGAGCACTGTGGACCACACAATGTCACCCATGTTTACCATATTACCAAAGAGTCATATGGGACCATTCTTAAAATACAAAGACTATTTCTAATAAACAGCATTACAGAATCGTTAACACAAGAATCACTGGGTACCAAACGTAAAGGTTTCCCCTTGACATTAAGTCTAGTCGTGTATGACTCTGGGGGGTAGTGCTCATTTCCATTCCTAAGTCGAACAACCAGCGTTGTCCATAGACACCTCCAAGGTCATGGCCAGCATGACTGCATGGAATGCCATTACCTTCCCACAGAAGCGGTACCTATTGATCTACTCACATTTACATGTTTTTGAACTGCTAGGCTGGCAGAAACTGGGCCTAACAGCGGGAGCTCACCCTGCTCCCCAGATTCAAACCATTGACCTTTCGGCCAGCGAGTTCAGCAGCTCAGTGGTTTAACTCACTGCACCATCAGGGGCTCCTAGGCTACTTTATATCTATCTATATCTATGTCTATCTATATCTCTAATAAAAGTGAAAATATGTTTGTGTGCGATTTCCAAGATGGCACCCATTTCCGGAGAGCCCTGTGACTCCTCCCGACGATTGATCTGGAACAAATCTAGCACCACAGAACTATGATGACCAACTCTGCATAGTGGCTGGGTCTGGGGAAAATGGACCCTGGATGATGGGAGTTTTAGTCTACTCCCATATCCTTATGCGTTTTTTAATGGGACCATTCATAAAATCTGGGGGGGGGGGGACGGACGGACGGACCCAATGACTTTTCTAGTATGTAGCGTTACAGAAGATGTAACCCAAGCATAGTTGGGTGCCTAATCTAATAGTACCAGCAGCAGTAGTAATAATGATGATAATAATAATAACAGATATCTTTGCACTATGTTCTCTTCTTGAGACAACAATCCTCACAGATAAAGACCCAATTCAGGGCCTTCTGGGTAGAAGCTCAAGTGAAGCGCTCTCCAAAGCAAAGCTGTCTGCCTTCAAAGCCACTTACCCTGAAGGCCAAATAATATCGTAGTGTAAGACACATATCTGGTGCATCTTCCGTCCACATTCCTTGCAATCCACAAAACTAAAAAAGAAAATAAGAAAAAAGCAAATATATATATAAGAGAACAAGGAATAATAAAAATTAAACCATTTTCAGCAGTATGGAGTATTGTAAAACACTGGAATTCTAAAATATCGCTATTTGATTAGGATCTGCTTTTTGTTTTAGTGCTGCTCTGCCACAAAAGGCCCAAAACATTTCTTGTGAATCGCTTTTGGTTGCTGACCAGTGAACACTTACGGCTCTGGGTCCAGCGTGTCATTCTTCTTCTTCTCAAACTGATCTTTTGATATCGTTCTGTAAACAGAGAAAGACAGGGAATGGGTTAATTGCAGCTCCGCTTCGGTTACAGCCCTAGAGCAGAGAAGGGATTCCTACAAAACAGCTATACCACAATGAAAGGCAGGTAATACATTTATTTTTATTTTTATTATTAATCTGACACGAAAATACAGTATGACACAATAAATGAGAGATATATGCTGGATTTCGTATCACAAAATCACAAGTCGAACAGTTCCCAAGCGTTTAGGACTGTTGTTGTTGTTGTTATTATTGTTATTATTATTATTATTATTGTTATTATTGTTATTATTATTTTATCTGCCTTTCTCTTTCTCCTATTATTGGAACTACAAGTGGCTAGCAACAAATATGATATCATACAAACTGAAAACAAAGCAAAGGCAGGAAAATATGGATATAAAAACGAGAAAAAAACCAATTCCATCTCTGTGTCAAGAAGTCTAAAAATTAAAATAAGATACAATACAGGCAGTCCCCTAGTTACAAATTACTCCTAGGTAAGAATGAGGCTGAGACAACAGGAAGTGAGAGCAATCTCCCCCTCAGAAGGAAAGAAAATCAATTCCTGGAAGAGTCATTATCGTGGGGAAAAGGTGCCTCCACTAAAGCTTTATCTCCAATCCTTCTTTTCACAACAAGCCAAATTTTTCAAAATTCAATTATCAAAGGACAGAAAGTGAGGTGAAATCTTCTGAACAGGGGGACAGGCAGCAAAGGAAACATCATAGGAGTGTTCACCCTTTCCTATGCTTTTCAAAGCTAAATGACATACATTTTTGGCTGGAGCTGCACTTCAAAAATGTACCTGTTCTGACTTACATACAAATTAAAGAACAAGCTTACAGAACCTATCTCTTTTCGTAATGTGGGGACTTCCCATATAAATATAATTACAATAACATTCTAGCTGATGAAGAAACACAACCTACAAACTATCTATAGACCTGCTAAGAAAATGCAACCAATGCTACATTCAGCAAAGGACAAGATTTCTGAAGGAGTTGACCATATTCTGTCCCATGCAACTGTGGACAAGCCTACATAGGGATCACCAAACACAGCAACAATGCCCAAATATGAATCAAAGAACACAACAGGCATTGCAGACTAATTCAACCAGAGAAGTCAGCTATAGCGGAGCATCTGATGAACCAACCTGGACACAGCATATTATTTCATTTTTTTTATTGCAATGATATCCATCTAATACATAGAAATACATTTACTTTATATACACCCATAAACCATTACATTTTGCCCCCTTTTTACCTCCCCCCTCCCTCCAACTTTACAAAGCATTTTTAAGTGCAGCCAGTCTAGGAATCTGTCCATTTTCTCCTTTATTTGATCATTAGCTTTCCCTTCTTCAATCCATTTCACAACACAGAAATGCTGGACCACTCAAACAAGCACCATGTCAGACTACACAGAGAAGCCATTGAAATCCACAAGAATGTGGACAACTTCAACAGAATGGAGGAAATCGTGAAAATGAACAAAATCTGGCTACCAGTATTAAAAAAAACCCTCTGAAATCAGGACAGTAAATAAAGAACAAAAATAAAAACGGGAATTCCAGACAAGAATCAATCAGGGCCAGCTAACACCTCCCAACAAAGGATTCCCCCAGGTGGGAATCAGCCAGAACCTCGAAGCTGCAAGGCTTTGCAACGGTAAGCAAGGTGATTAATTACAACATTCACAAGACAAGAGTTCTTTCTCCCACCCTGGACCTTCCTCCTTTGTTTAGTTTCCAACAGATCTCACAACCTGAGGATGCCTGCCATAGATGTGGGCGAAACATCAGGAGAGAATGCTTCTGTAACATGGCCATACAGCCCAGAAAACTCACAGCAATCCAATGATATTCTAACTTTCCAGCCCATTCCAAGAGAGGGGCTGGGGCAGTGGGGAGGCTCAGGTTGGAGCCTGTTCTAACTGAATCTCAGGGTCGGAGGAGACCCCCAAGGGCTGTCCCTTCAGGTCCCGTTGTGTGGGATCTCCGGAGCACGACTTCAAAGAGCCTCCCCCTGAAACGCAGAGGGCATCTGCTTTGCAGGCCTTTGACCCCGATGAGGGCAAGGCTGGCAAAGGAAGCAGAGCACCCCTTCCCTCCTGCTGGGTTCAGCCTGGGCCCCATAATGCTGCCTTTGGTTTGTTTGCTTGTTTCTTCCTTTAATGAGGGGTAACTTACGTCTGGGGCTGAGCCGGGTCATCGCCCAGGGTAACGTTCTCCCCCTGGATTTCAGTGAAGCATCTCTCGCAGAAGTGGTACCTGTCAGCAAGAAGGCCATATTGGGGTGAACTGGTCCGTCACAAGACATGGCCGGCCAAGCAAAGGAAGCAGTCAGCGTGGCCGGAGGGAAGCAGCGTTGGTCAGTTGGTGGACAGAGGGGAGGGGAGCAGACAGACAGCACAGACAGACAGAAGCAGTCGTAAGACACAGACAGCAAGACAAGACAGAGCAGAAAGACAAGCAAACGACAAGGGGAAAAGGAGAGCCTCCAGTCTGCCCAGTGACGAACTGGGCCCAGAAAGGCAGCCAAAGGCTATCTTGCCATTGCCACCCATTATTCAATCCAAGGAGGCTTTGCAACTGACTAGGAGCCTGTTACACAATTTTAGTATTATTATTACTATTACTACTACTATTATTATTCATACCCCATTTTTGCCTCTCTAAGCAGATTACAGTAATCCAAAACAATAACTATTTAAAATCCCCCAGTGGCGCAGTGGGTTAAACCCGTGTGCCAGCAAGACTGAAGACCAACAGGTCACAGGTTCGAATCTGAGGAGAGCGCGAATGAGCTCCCTCTATCAGCTCCAGCTCCTCATGCAGGGACATGAGAGAAGCCTCCCTACAAGGATGATAAAACYTCAAAACATCCAGGGGTCCCCTGGGCAACGTCCTTGCAGATGGCCAATTCTCTCACACCAGAAGCGACTTGCAGTTTCTCAAGTCGCTCCTGACACGACTAAATAAATAAATAAATAAATAAATAAATAACCTGAAAATACACAAACATTCAAATAGAATGATATATTAACAGCATTAAAGCCTTGAAAACTGATTAAAATGTATTATTATTATTATTATTATTATTATTATTATTATTATTATTAATTGTATTTATACCCTGCCCTTCTCATCCCGAAGGGGACTCAGAGCAGCTTTACAATAGGCAACAATTAAATGCCACATAAACGGACATAAATAGAATAAACATATACCTCAAAAACATAAAATTAAAGACATCTAAACATTACAAACTATTATTTTTTTAAAAAACCCCACACAACCTGAGATCATAGTTCAGGAACCATTCCAGTCCTGATTGCATATATTCCATGGGCTTATAAAAGGAGGGGGGGGGGATGTAATTTCAGCAGGTGGGGGAAATGTTTAATTTGTGTGCATCTACACTGATTTATTATGGAGTTTGAAACTGCTTGAACCGTGATTGCTCAATACAATGGAATCCGGGATGTGTAGTTTGGTGAGGCACAAAAACTACACAAAAGCCATGTTCCCAGGACCCCGGTTTCTTTTGACCTGGGAGAAAAATGCCACCCTCCACAACAAGGCAGCCCTGGCGCAATGCCTAGGAAAAGGAAAGCATGAACGGCAACACAAAGGAAGCTGCCCAGAAGAGGCTGCAAAAAGGAAGAAGAAAGCAACAACAGGAACAAGAAGAAGGAAAGGGGAGACACACAGAGATGCGGTCCTGCCCGCTGGGATAGTCCAGATGGCTTGAATTTGTCCATCTCCCCAAGCGCCCCATGAGAAGAAGGCCACTTTGCAAATGTGCCACACAGATTCCACGTGCCCTACTGACCCAAATTGAATGCTTACCTTTTAGGAGCTAAGTGACCTTGCCAAAATGAGGCTGAGCACTAGATTCACGCCACACCATCACCTTAGAACTGAACCAAAAGGGGAAGCTGCTTCAGGGGAAGCGGAGCTCCTATTTGAAGGATGGCATCTTTCATTTAATGACCACGGCTCAATGCTATGCCATCCTGAGACTTGTTGAGGCACTAGGGAAGGCTCAAGACCTTGTAAAACTACAGCTCCCATGACTCCATAACATTGAACTGAGGCAGTTAAAGCAGATTCATTCTGCAGCATAGATGCACCCCAAGGTTTTCCTTGCAATTGCTGAAAGTTTTGGTGCTTTAAAGAAGGAATTCTAAGCAGGCAGCAACACTTTTGGCCAAATTACAAGGAGTGAACCTTTTGTTGCTGTGCATTATATTTGGCAGGAAATGCTTTTTTTTTTTTTTTGGTTTCAGGGTTTTGAAAATTGAGGTGCGCATTAGAGACTCAAGTCAATATGGTAGTAGCACATGCCCCCCTGGTCCTGGCTTCCGGTGAAGTGAGAGACGGAGAGAAGAAGGGCTTACCGGTTCTGGTAGCTGTAGTAGGCTGCATCGCGGGGAATGGTGCAGAGCTGCTTCCCATAGCAGCACAAGGTCTGGGGAGAGAACTCATACTGCAAAAGAGAAGACAGAGAGAGAGGAACAAAGGATGGGTCTCCTCAGCCACAGGCCCTCTTCACACACATTGCTCCTCTATCTATCTGAAAGTTCTCCTGGTGTTTTACCACTTTAGATCTTTGTGGACACTCTACTGATGGAGGCATCCTCACACCAAACATGGGAGCCCTCAAACCCAAACTATCCAAGAGACCTGAGTCAGCTGTGACTCTGAGTCTTTGGAAACTAAACACACTTCACTGAGTACCTATGCACCAGTGGTCCCCCAGGTGTTTTGGACTCCAGCTTCCAGCATTCCTAGCCTTTGCACAAGCTGGAAGCTGGGGCTTCTGGAGGCTGGAAGCTCAACCACCTGGAAAAAGGCCGCAGGTTTGACCCTGCTGCTCTACATGTAATTTTACATGTAATATATAATTGTATATTATATATTACATATAATATTATTAATAGTATTGCAGTGTAGTGGTATAGTATAGTAATATATAATACTAATATTGTTCTATTCTAATAATATAATATATTGTATGTCCATCGAATATTGATCATAATAATGTAATACAATATATTAATATAATAATTATATATTATACATTACATGTAATATTACCAATAATATTGCAGTATAAACGTACAGTACAATATAGTAATATATAATACTAATATTGTGCTATGCTAATCATATAATATATTGTATGTACATCTAATATTGATCATAATATTGTAATACAATATAATAATATAATTATATATTATATATTACATGTAATATTACCAATAATATTGCAGTATAAACATACAGTACAATATAGTAATATATAATACTAATATTGTGCAATGCTAATAATATAATATATTGTATGTACATATAATATTGATCATAATATTGTAATACAACATAATAATATAATAATTATATATTATATATTACATGTAATATTACCAATAATATTGCAGTATAGCGGTATAATACAATATAGTAATATATAATACTAATATTGTGCTATGTTAATAATATATAATATATTGTATGTACATATAATATTGATCATAATGTTTTAATACATTATAATAATATAATAATTATATATTATATATTACATGTCATATTACTAATAATATTGCAGTATAGTACAACATAGTAATATATAACACTAATATTGTGCTGTGCTAATAATATAATATATTGTATTTAAGAATAATACTGATCATAATATTGTAATATAACATAATATAATAATTATATATTATATTTCATATTACTAATAACATTGCCACATGGTGATACAGTACAATATAGTAATATATAATACTAATATTGCGCTATGCTAATAATGTAATATATTGTACGTAAATAAACTGCTCTGAGTTCCCTTCAGGGTGAGAAGAGCGGGATATAAATGTCATAAATAAATAAATATACCTCAGTAGACCTCTTGAAAAACATGGCAGTAAATGAATGCAACACAGAAGGGCCACTTTTTTGTGCTGGACTGTCTTTCCCAACCAATGGGTTTGGAGATATCTCTCCATCCATGCCTTTCTTGACACGAAATGCATATTTTTAAGGGTTTACACAAAATTATTTCCCACAAACACAGCCCATGGTTTGAATCAGGCCTTTAAATCCAAAAGAGAAACATTCCTTCTTTGCTATGATAATAATAGAATTGTTCCTCTCCACTGTATGTCACCCATGCCCAAGAGCTTCAAGGACAGAAAGAGAGGCCGGAACAAGGGAGTACCCAGTGCCAGATCTGCACTTTCTGAGAAAGGTCCCACTTGCACTGCCAACCGGGGAGAGAGAGGGAGGGAGGCACACCTTGCGTCCACAGCAGTATCCCAGGGACTGCATGACGGGGTCGATCTCCTGCTCGAAGACCTCTGCCAGCTTCGTGCAAAACTTGTAGACCCTGGAGGTCTTGCGGTTGTAGAGCCAGGCATTGTTGAACATCAGCCAGACGTCCTCCACATACTGCCAGGGCTCCTGGTACTGTCCTGTGTCCAGCTTGCGCTTGATGGTGGACAGGTCCATGGGGCTCTTCACAATATCAAAATAGTCCTTCAGAGAAAGGTAGGGGAGAGGTCGCTTCAGTGAGGACCCAGTTTTTCTGAGGGGACCCCAAAGGCAGCAGCAGCAGGAGGAAGAGGAGAAGGAGGAAGGGCAGCTCTACTGCCAGGAGTCAATGCTGAGTCAACATCAAACCGGCCTCCAACCCCCCACCCCTCTCCGGAGCAGAATGGGGTGGAGAAGGGCTGCCTGGTTCTCTCATCTAACCAGCCTGGTCTGCCTCTCCCCCAGGCAGGGACCCCCAGGGTCTCCATGAAGGTTGACTGTCAGAAATACTAAATATTAACTAGGTATTTTTAATTACAAAAATGTGAGCGAAGCACTGAAAAGGTTAAATGAACGCAATGACTCCGCAAAAGCTAATAGTTTTAATTGTGTTAATTGTAACTGTGTGTTTTAATTTATTGCTTTTTGGCATCTAATGGCTGCCTGCTGTAAGCCGTTCCGAGTCCCTCTTCGGAGGTGAGAAGGACAGGATAGAAATGCCCAAAATAAATAGATAAATAAATAAAAGCAGTACAATATAAGCAGGTATGCCTGTAGCTTAGTAGCCTCAGTCTGTGAGAGGTCTCTGTGGCAGAAAGACCTCAGTGTGAGAAGGCCTCAGTCTGAGAACCCTCAGTGTAAGAGGGCTTCAGTGAGAGAAAGGCCTCAGTGTTAGTAGACCTGATGTGAGAGAAACCCCAGATTAAAGGCCATTGTGTGTGAAGGCTGCTGTGTGTAAAAAACTACTGTGTGAAGCTCCTGTGTAACTTTGGTGTGACAAGAGGCTCTGTGAGAACGAAGCTGTTTTTCTGCATGAGAACGAAGCCTAGCGTGAAAGCAAGGAAAAAAGTATAAAGAACTTTATTTATGTTGTGCAAACCTTGTTATTGTAAATAGTGCAACCATATTATTTTGCTATGAGCCTCCTATGAAAGAGATAGTATTGGTCTGTGTGTTTTTGTTCTTTTTATCACTTTTGGCTACTGGTGCTGGATCACACTGCTGCTAAGTTACTCTGCTGTGCATTTATGAGGAGGGCCCACATACCCAACACTGATCTCCCTGCTTCCTCCCTCCAATCCCTACGTACCGGAATGCCCAGCAGCTGAGGGTCCACCGGCTGCCGGAAAGGCAGAGACTCTGGGTCCTGGCGGTAGAGGGCCTCCAAGGTGGGCATGAGCGCCTGCCGCAGCTCTTCAGGCTTAAAGACTGTGGAAACGGTTGAAAACAGTCAATGCAAAATGATGCCGGTCAGTTCCACCTCCACCTGAACTAAGGAACTAGTACATCTCCATCCACCTATTGCTGGTTGATGGAGTTCAATGCTGCAGAGAGGGAGGGGAAGGGCCCTCGTGAGGTCACGGGAGGGCAGAAGTCACTCAGGAGGAAGAGACCTTTCCAATGGGCCATGCTGCAGTTCCCTAAATGGTCGTGACCAGGAGATTCGTGACCCCCGCCATGTTTCCTGTCTCTGGCAGAGAAGGCAGGGGTGCCCCTCCCAACCAATCATGGGGCAGCACAAGAGACTCACTCTTTTTCCGCGGCTGAGAGGGAGACGTGGACTGAGAGGTAGAGCCACTGCTGCTGCTGCTGCCTCCTCCGCTCCCTCCACTGTCCTCCTCCTCCTTCACCTCCGGCTTCCTGCCTTCCACCTCCATGGGCTCCTGTTTGCCTTCATCTGCACCAGGTTCCTCTTTGGTTTGCGTGGGCCTCACTACTGCTGCCGCCTCCTCCTCCTCTGGCTGGAAAGGAGGACAAGGCCAGGCCCATGGTCACCTCTCTGCCACAAGCCACCACGCTGATCAGATTCCCAATCAATGAGGTAAAGAGCCCCAGGCCCCACCCCTACCTCAAGTTTTGGCTCCACTGGGGCTTCGCCACACTCCGACTTGGCTTTTTCGGCCCTCACTTCGGACTTCCCCTCCGGCACCGGCGCCTCGTGCCCAAACGGCTGGGCTCCGAGGTCCGCACCGGCAGCAGAACCTGGGCTGGGCACCCGGCTGTCGACGCTCCCCGCTGCAGCCTGAGAGAGCTGGCAAAGAGGGAGGGGAGGGGCGCTCATGAGAGGAGAAGGGCAGCCCCTGCTCCCATACATGCACCCAGCAGCCTCCTCAGCAGAAGGCTGCTTTCATGAATAGCTGTACTAGAGCATTTACACAATGCAGCCCACAATACACACCCTCTTTGGGAGCCTACTCTCCTTTAAGAAAATGCTATGGCTTCTTCTCTCAGTGAGTGGGAGCACATGGGGAATGGCCAGCGCAGAGTAGAGGGACCTGAACACTACCATGGCTTTACAAAAGTAGAAGGCGTTTAGAAGGACTGATCCATGAAGGCCTACCATCCCCTGCAGTCACTCCAATGGGAGCCCCATGATCTTGGCTCAAAGACAGGATGTGTGTGTTTGGGAGGGGGAAGATATCTCTATGCCAACCATGGTTAGAGGTGAGCAGATGTCTGTCTGTGCAGGTGGGCAACCCCCACCGTTCCCACCTCTTCAAGGGCCACACAGGAATTGCCACGCGGAAACATTCCAGCATACTCACTGGTGTGGAGGGTGCCTGAGATGGCACCGGAGCCTGGGCTGGCGGCAGTTGCGATGATGGCGGCGGCTGCGGCGTTGGCACAGAGGGGGGCTGCCCAGGGGTCCGGGGCTGAGGCGCTGCCTGGGCCTGCCCCGAAGGCATGCTCTGCAACTGCATGGTGGTGGTGGTGGTGCTGGGGGCTGAGGGGGGTGCAGGCGAGGGGCCTTGTCCCAAAGGGGGCAGCGGTAGGGCAGGCGCCGGTGGTGCTGAGGGTGGAGGGATCATTCCCTGGACTGTGGAAGGCATGGAAACCGCAGTTGTGGGCAGAGGGGCCGCAGGCTGGTGGAGGGGTGGCGGCTGCGTGATGGAGGGACAGGCAAGCTGGTTGCTCGATGGCCCCAGGATGCTGACGGAGGCCGGTAGGGAGGCGGCTGGAGCCTGGCCCTGCGGAGGCGATGTGGTTAGCCCTAAAGCCTGTACTGCACCTGCAGCACAGGCTACCCACCCCCCTTGCCCTCAGGTATCTTGCCTCAGTGGTCCAACTCCCACTCCAGGCCTGGACCCTTTGGCTGACCCCTGTGGGCCTACCTGCGAGGAGGCTCCTGCCTGGGCCTGCCCCATGGCAACATTGAGGGCTCCACCGGAGGCGGCAGGGAACTGGCTCTGACCGAGGAACTGGGTCTGGGGGGCTGTCGGACCCATCAGGCTGTTGGCATGCGCTACCATTATGCTCTGTGACTGAGGCATCCGGGAGGGAGATAGGGCCATCTGGGAAACAGAAGCAGGCAGGCGCCATAAGGGTCTGGGCACTGAGTTCCAAGAAGTAAAACATGCCTCATAGCCAAGAACATAAGACCAAAATCTGCTCCTCCTCCTCCTCCTCCCTGTCTTCAGGTGCCAATAGTCTACATATTGATTTATTGATTTATTTATTTACCACATTTATATCCCGCCCTTCTCAACCCCGAAGGGTACTCAGGGCGGCCTTACAAACAAAGGCAACAATTCAATGCAATATATTAATACATCGGTAAATAAACAAAAACGTTGAAATCAAACCCATTGAAAACACAGCAATAAAACATCAATTAAAATCACATGATCCAAATCATGTTCCAGGACCAGTTAAGTCATCATTATATTAATTTCTGGTCTCCTATTGCACTATTCCCATTACTGGCCAAAAGCCTGATCCCAGAGACATGTTTTCATTTTTTTCTTGAAGGTCAGGAGGGATGGGGCAGATCTATTTCCACTGGGGAGGGAATACCATAGCTGAGGGGCCATCACGGAGAAGGCCCTGTCCCACCAAACGTGCCTGCGAAGGGGGTGGGACCAAGAGCAGGGCTTCCCCTGACAATCTTAATCTCCGTGATAGAGGGAGATATGTTCAGACAGGTAAACTGAGCCAGAACTTTTAGGGCTTTAAAAGCTAAAGCCAGCACTTCAAATAGTGCTTCTAAGCAGACTGGCAGCCAGTGGAGCCGACGGTTGTGTGCGCCCTTTATGCCGCTCCAGTGAGCAATTTGGCTGCCATCCGTTGGACTATTTGAAGCTTCAGAACAGTCTTCAAAGGTAACCCCACATAGAGCGCATTGCAGTAGTGACAAAGATAAAGGGCAGGTGCCAACATGGCCCACAGCAGAAGACGCCTGGGTCAATGATCAGGGGTGGAAGTGGCAGAGAGCATGGCTTCTGGCCCAGACGAATTTCAGGGGGAACCACTCCTCCCGGATTCAAATGCAGCAAGGTTAGAAAGAGTTATAAGGCAATTAGTATATGAGTCTTTAGGCAAAGCAGAGTGGGAAAACAGCAAATACAAACCGCTGAAACGGAGCCCATGTTGTTCATCTGGACAGGATGGTTCATGGGGGAAGCAGCTCGCGGTCCGATTGAGGTCGGGGGCATCTGGACATTCCCTATGGAAAGAGAAGGCAACACTGATTCTCTCCTGCAAAACACGTCCCCAGAACCATTCTCCGGAGGCGCTCAGCTCAACCGAGGAAAGGCCTTTGTCCCAATTCAGGCCACAGCAAAACTCAGGGGTTTGGAGTCACTGGGAAAATCAAGCCAAAGTAAACAGAAACCTGGGTAGAACTATCCGCCCACCCCAAAAATGGAATCTCTGTTAAGTAATACCTTGAGAGACTTGCATGCGGCTCACAGGGACGTTTGGCACGGAGGACACAGGGCCATCTGCAGGAGGTTTTGAGAGATGAGATTAACTGAGCTAACTAACAAGCCATTACATCAACTTAAAAAAGACAGTTCTGGCAATTGGGAAAAAGCATTGCCTGAGAAGAGACAAGGTGAGGCCCATGCGCTTCTAACCCTCCTGAATTTTGGGCACTGACCGCAGTTCTCATCATCCCCATTTCACCAGTAGCATTGAGATGATGGGACTTGTGTTCTAACAAATTCAAATGGCACAAAGGTGGGGGTGCTGAGTGAACTCTTTACATCATCATATATTGACCACCCAATGGACTACTAAATTTCATGGTCCTCCAAGATAGTTCAGGATATGGTACGGCATCTATCCTCCAAGATAGTTCAGGATATGGTACGGCATCTACTTGAACCGGGCTGTGTCGCAGCTAGTTTGTAGGCAGCTGCATTAAATCAGTACTAACTGAGAGATCATGAGTTTGAAGCCAGCCCAGGTCGGAGTAAGCTCCCAACCATTAATAGCCTAGCTTGCTGTTGACCTATGCACCCTGAAAGACAGATACATCTGTCAAGTAAGAAATTTTGGTACCGCTTTATGCAGGGAGGCTAATTTAACTAATTTATGACATTACAAAACCTTCTAGCAGGGTGCGTGTGTAAGAATGAGGGAGTACTCCATCAAGGACTCGATGTCACAAGTGGAGGGTGAAGCGGCGACTCCCCCTGTGGCCGGAATTGAGCATACCCTCATGAAGCCGGAAAGCTGGAATGTTGAATTGCCTCTGTGTCTGTCTATATATGCTGTATGTTTATGGCATTGAATGTTTGCCATGTATATGAGCATTGTAAACCCTGAGTCCCCTGCAGAGTTAGAAGGGCGGAATATAAATACTGTAAATAAATAAATAAATAAATAATAAACTTAATTTATAACCTGCCACCATCTCCCCAACGGCCGGCGGCTAACATGAGGCCAAGCCCAAAGATACAATACAACAAAATAAAATACAGAATGCAGACAACAAAACATTACATCAAAATAAAATACATACAGTAGCACAATAGGATAAATAAAAGAAAATTAACACAATATGAAATCGAACAGAATGGGAAAGCCAAATGGACGAAGTAAAATGATAAAACCCTGGATGAGGTAGGAAAGAAAATGTGTAATTGAGGGGAAACCAAAAAGAATAAACACTGGGGCTTCTATTGATACCATAAATTTGTGGGAGCAGGTGAAGGCAATGTCCTTATTCCCGCCTTTTTGAATCTCTGTCTCCACTGTAGCCACTTTTTTTACCCACGTAACCTGTCTGAGGAGAGGGCAACAGAACGTTCCCAGGAGCCCCTTTCCCCACCACTGTTGTCCATACTCAACTCTTCTTGCGGAGGGAAAAACGGGGTATAAACAAGCATGATAAGCATAATAATACTTACTGGGGGGCCTGACGGGCTGTGTCTGCCCCAGGGCTACTGCCGTCACTTGAGGGAGGCCAGGGGGCTGGGCCCCGGGGGTTTGTAAGGCCGGCTGGTTGCCCAAGATCCCTTGCTTGTGCAAACGTGACCGCCGCTTCTCTTCCAGCTCTTTCTGGATCTTATAAATCTTCTCTGCCAACAAATGGTAATACTCGTCCTGGAAGGAGAGCACAGGAGAAATGAGCAAAGGGAACCTTGGCCGAAGAGCGGGTTCAGCCTGAGACCAAGAAATCCAGACATATAGGCCTCTGAGTGGAACAGACAAGCCCATTTTTTTTAACTCGTTGCCTCTTAAATTTATTTTATTTTCATGTTTTACCCCATTCCCGCCCTCCCCCCCCCTCCCCCTGGACATACAATTTATACCAGGCATGGGCAAACTTTGGCCCTCCAGGTGTTTTGGACTTCAACTCCTACAATTCCTAACAGCCGGTAGGCTGTTAGGAATTGTGGGAGTTGAATTCCAAAACATCTGGAGGGCCAAAGTTTGCCCATGCCTGATTTATACAATAAACTACAGAAATTACAGTTGAAATATCAGTCTTAATCTCAATTTTCCCACTCCACATCTTAATACATTCTCTAAATAATTCCTAACTGGATCCCACATACTCTTAATTATTATAACATTTTCTATTTTGTCTATATTGTTCAATTTACAATTTGTTATTTTCACATTTAACATGTTCACTATATAATTATACCATTGGTCTGAGTCCACTTTGTTTTATCTTTCCGACTGCTCATTAAAACAATTTGCACTCATGCTATTAATTTGTCAGCCACTCTTTCCTTTTTGCACTCCTGATATCCTTGCATATAATACATTTCTATTGGCTATTATTATTTGAAGATTTAACATTCTGTTAATTTCTCCTTCAATCATTCTCCAGTAAGCCTGTACTCTATTACATTCCCGTATCATATGATTTGTTTACAACCTGTCCTTTACCCCTGGTAAAAAATGTGAAAGTTGTGCAGGGGTCCTACACCATTTTTGTAACATTTTGCTACCTGCTTCCTTTAGTATATTATATTTTTCCTTTACTATAGTACTTATTTCCCTTTGAATGTCTTCTCTCTCCATTTCTATATCCATTCTGCATGTTTGAAATATCACCTCTGTTATTTCTTCTTTTACCATTATAATTTGTTCATACAAGTCTCCTGCCACTTTTTCCTCCCCTCTCAGACATTTCCTAATCACCTTCTCAAATTGACTGTTCTGTTCCTTGAACAGAGAAGCCCATAGGGTGGATGACGTCAGAAATCGGACTCTTTGTCAGATGTCAGTTTCAATAATACTACTAATAATAATCCCAGATATTATATTAAATAATAATAATAATCGGCACACTGGGTGCAGTGCCTAAAGACCTTGGCCTGCACTTATACACAATCAGCGCTGACAAAATTACCATCTGCCTGCTGCAAAAGGCCACCTTACTGGGATCTGCACACATTATTCGCCGATATATCACACAGTCCTAGACACTTGGGAAGTGTCCGACAAATGATCCAATACAACAGCCAGCAGAGTGATCTTGTTTGCTGTGGACTCCTATTGTTGTGTTTCAAACAACAACAACAACAACAACAACAAGTTCCACTGGAACTTGTGCCACAAATACCATCTGCCTGCGACAAAAAACTGGTGGGATCACAAGCCTGAAAAAGTGAACACCTCAAACTACTCTGGAACTTCCAAATTCAGACTGACAAGAGTTTTGGAGCACAAGACTCCTGACCTCACAATCATGGGAAAAAACAAAGTATGGATCACTGAAGTTGTAATCCCAGGCAACATCTGCCTGCCACCTCAGAAGGAGAAGGAGGAAATCCTGCTGCTTCTCCTGTCCCCCCCCCCCCCCCAAGCCAGCTAAGAGGAGGAAGGGGACTAAGGAAGAGGCTTTTAAAAATAAACCCGTCTCCTGGCTGTTGCTTATTATTTCTGTTGTAGTTTTATACTGTATTTAATGTTTTTATGTGCATTTTGATATTATGTATATTACTTGTTGCCTGTAAACCACCTTGAGTTGCCGAAAGGCTGAGAAAGGCAGTATACAAATACAGCAAATAAATAAATAAATAAATAACAGCAGAATTGATGTGAAGCAACTGAAAAAAACTGACACAATATGAGGAGTTAAAGACAGAACTGCAAAGACTCTGGAACAAGTCAGTCAAGGTGGTCCCAGTGGTGACTGGCACACTGGGTGCAGTACCTAAAGTCATTGGCCTACACTCAGAAACAATCAGCGCTGACAAAATTGCCATCTGTCACCTGCAAAAGGCCACCCTACTCCGATCTGCATGCATGACTTATATACATTCTAGACACTTAGGAAGTATTCAAGGTGTGATCAAATACAAAAGTCAGCATAGTGATCTTGTTTGCTGTGTACTAATCTTGTTGTGTATCAAATAACAACAACAACATCTGTGCTACTATAGTTCATGGCGAGAGAACATACCCGGCTGTTTGCCGATTCGTACATATCCCCTTCCACTTTCCTGGCGTAAGCCACCAGGTTCTCCATCCGGCGATCCTTCAGAGCTGCTGGGTCGGGAGTCGGAAAGATGGCTTGCACCCTAGAAACAGAATAGATATGAAACCCCCTAGAAAGGCTGGCATAAATCCACCATCACAGTGTTTTTGTGTCAACGCTAGCCCTCTAAAGCCCAAAGGTGGCCTTCCATATCACTTAAGAGTCAGGGAAGGCGGTAGAATAACTGAGGGAGGGAGACAGGGACAGTGAGAGGCAATGGGAAGTGGAGGGAATGAATGGGGGGGGGGGGCGCTGTCCTTCTGCCACAGCATCCATTCCCCTCAGGCCAATCTCAGCCCCCAAATTCACACTCACAGCTTGTGGACCAAGTGGTTGCGCAGGTCCTGCGTGACGTGTTCGTGCCAGGTCTTCCTTGCCCCGGAGCCAGAAGCAGGGGCTGCGGTGGGCATCGTTCCGCTAAGGGTCCCAGCACTCCCCGAATTCGTGCCATCACTCATCAGGGGGCTAAAGGAAAGTCCCAAGTAAGTCCCTGCTTTCACTGTTACAGGACAGTGCTTAAGCAACGGGTGGGTGGGGAAGGGGGGCAATGAGCAGAGGCAATGAAAAACAGCTGCAGGAAAGTAAACAGAAAGCAAGGAAAAGGGGAATCATGTGAAGGAATCACCACCGAATACATGATTAGGGACTTCTGCTGTTGTTGGGAATATCAGCGCAAATATCCGAGGATGTTTGAAGCATGCCTTACTTTGCTGCTGCCCCCAGGGAAGCCGGAAGCGCCGCCTCAGGGATCATGCCGGGTACCTGCTCCGTGATCCCCGCTGAAGGAAGGTTCATAGGACTGGTTCCTTTGGGAGAAGAGCGGTCCTCATTAGGGCAAAGTGGAAACCGGTCAAAGCACTCTGTTGACAGCCATGCTGGATCAGTATATTTCTGTGCAATTTATTTATTTACGACATTTATATCTCACCCCGAAAGGGACTCAGGGCAGCTTACATAATTGGCATTATTCCATGCCCAAACAACAACAAAAAGCAAATAAACAACAATTTTAAACAACATTAAACAACGTATTTAAACATTAGACAACTGTGTAAATGCCACTCATAGATCTGAACAAAGACAAGAGCTAGGAACACCCACAAGGGTTGGCTAAAACGGGAGATCTGAACCAGAATGACTCTTTGGATATGCCTTTGATACTGAGGTTTCCACACTTTTCATTCTGGTGACACGCTTTTCAGACATGCATCCTTTCGCAACATGGCTATTCAATTTTACTAGCAAGGCAGAAGTTAAACCAACCCCTAAGAGTTTAATTCAATATGCATACATAAATACATATGTATGTGTGTGTTTCATATAAGCTTTACTGTATAAAAAAGTTTTGGAAATTTTCCCTTTCCGCTTCTTATTTACTACATTTGATTCCCCTATAACTACTCCATGGGGTTCATCATAAACGTAACTGTATTCAGATTTCCTTTCCTTAATTAGAAACCTAACAATTTTAGTGGTAATTACTGCAACTCAATTGACAAATTGTGCAAATTATAAGAGTTATAAGAGAACCTGCCCTTGAACAACATCAGTGCGCCACTTCTGTAAGGATTAATTCTCTCCGGAGGTTTTGAAGTGGAGCCTGCCATGACGGGTGCCTATGAGTGTATCCTTCGCAGACTTCTCCTTGAGCCCTCCCACTTGAACAAGGTTCCTCCAAGAGACCCAGACCCAAGTAACTCACTCACACACAGGGGGAGAACTTCAGCCCCACTTACTTACCCAACACATTCATGGTCCTCATCTGTGGATGGGGAGCCTGGGGCTGGGAGGCGGGCTGCTGGCCTTGGACCTGTGGCTGCAGGGGGACCTGAGGCTGGTTGCCATAGGGAAGGCCCAGGGCTGCATAGGCGCGCTGCATGGAGCTGGGGTCAATGGGGTTGGGGTTGCTGAGGGGTGCTGTTGCTGCCTGTCCTGTGCCGGAGGCCACTGAGTTCTGCATCCCTGCCACCGGAGACCCCAGGAGCGCTGCCAGGGAGAGAGGCAGACCAGGCCGGTTAGACGAGAGAACCGGACAGGAAGCAGCACCCTGCGTGCACCATCTTTTTCATGGCAGAAGCACGCTGTCACTGAGGGGCCCTGCCGTTCCCTCTGCTGCGCAGTCACTTACGCTGCTGGTTCCTCTTGTCACTGGCGTTCTTCAGCGGGAGGCAGACAGGGCAGTCGTGTCGCGTGCAGTTCTTCCAGTGGGAGATGATCTGACGGGACGATGCACAATGCGCCACTGGGGAGGAAGAGGAGGAGACATGGCCTTAGCCCTCCAGGTACCAATGGGCCCAATGCCCTGCTCCAATCCCACAGCCACAGAGTGTGGAGCAGTGCTGGTTTCACTCATGGCATTGCAGGGAAGGTGTCAAGCAAGTAGACCGTGAAGGGTACCTCCTGCTCTCAGCCAGAATGTCCTGAACTTATCCTGGCGTTTCAAAAGGTACTTCACAAATGTATCGGTAATTTGGAAAGCACACTTTTAAAACATGACTTAAAACTGCAAGGCATATGCACCGTGAAAGGAAATTGAAAGAAAATGCTACCCTTAGGGCCCCTCTTTCTGTAGAGGCTGGACAGCACACGGGCCTGGCTTTCATCTGAGCCAAGGGGAACCCAGGAGCAGGAGCTGAGTACATGGAGGAAGCCTCTGAAGCAGAAGCAGCAAACTCTACCACCCAAGAGGCAGCCAAAAAGAAAACAACTCCAAAGCGCCAAAATCCACCAGAGGCCCCTACTGGCCGCACCCCCCTCTCTCTCTTTAATGGGAGGGGGCTGTCAGAAACTAGGGTGAACTGGGGGTCTCCCAAGGCCTGCCATATGGCAGAGGTATTCCCCCCTATCCTGTCAGGGCTCCCAGAGAGGCCAGAAGAGTTTCAGGGCCCCCAAAGACTGGTGACATTTCAGGGCTTGAGAGAGACCTTGACAAAGATGCCCTCAAGGCTTTCGAGCCACCTTTCATCTACTGTGGGCCTAAGATGCCACGTCCTGGAGCTGGAACCCCCAAGGCTTTTCTCCTGGGACTCTACTCCCAAGCTACCATTGCAGACAATTGGAGACAGTTCCCTGAGCCTCTGGGGCAGGCAAGACCCTGGCCTAAAGCTTGGGCCTAGTCAACAGACGATTGCCCCCAAGGGCTGGGATAGGCATTCCTTCGCATCAGGACACCCAATGATTTCTCTCCAATACACCACCAGCCATCAAAAGGCCCAGGGAGAAGGGCTCACTGAGCAACAGAGGCAGGCCAAACGCCACTCCCCAGGCTCTCAGGGGCCAATGGCCAGTCGTAATCATGAACCCCACACCTTGAGGTTCTCCTGTTCAGCCAACTCCAAGAGTGGGCTCTCATCACAGCAGTTTCCCTCAAGCCTTTGCCTTTTCTGCAGCTGTAGAGGAAGAATGCACTTCCTCCTCCAAAGTGATATTCTGCAGAAAAGAAAACCCCAGGGTCCACCTGCCTCAGGGTGCAGCTGCTTAAAAAAAGGGGGGACGAACGGACCTTCCTTCTTTGCAAACAAGGGGCTCACTTTCCCTCTTCCAGGAGGGTTCCATCCCCTCCAGTCCAGCAGGCAAAGGACTTACCTTGGCAGGCCTTCCCTGCCTGGCAGTGGGTCATGTGGTTGAGGACGTTCTTCATGGTCCGGCAGTGGGGCAGGGCGCAGGCCCGAACTTCCCCGTTGGCCTGCTCCCGCCGCTGGCACTTGTGAGCATGGAGCAGCAGGACCAACTGCTGTTGGATCAGCTTGCGCTTCTCCGGGTCGGCGGTGGGCCCGGCGGCCATCGCCTGTGTCGGGACGAGGCTCACCTGCTGCTGCACTTGGCCCGGCATCTGAGGAGGGAGAGAGGCAAGGTGTCTCTGAATCTCATCCAGCATTAGGCCTGGACATCGCTTCCAAGGCGAGGGAAAGGAAAGCAACCCAATTCTCTCACAAAGGCACCCCTTTCCATTTCCAATAGGGAACCTAAGAGTTTACACAGCACTGCACTTTCATCCCATGCCCTTGTTCCTTAGCTACAACCTGAACTACCCCATTCCCTAGTTCCTGTTTACAGTTGGCCATGTTTTATGACATTTCTCATCATAGGTTATTGGGTGTTGTTCTGAGTTTAAATTGCTGTTTTATATAATATTGGTTTTATTTTTGTATTGTATTGTGTGTTTATGTGTTGTTTTAGACACTTTGAGCCATATTTAAGCCTCCCTGAGTCCCTTTGGGGAGATAGATGGGGGTACAAAAATTAAGTAATTATCATCATCATCATTATTTACTTGGTGGAAGAAGCACTGAGGGGAAGGGCTGGCCTGGCTGGAGGACACTCACCATATTTGGCACACTGGTCACAGATACGCTCTTGATGTCGGGAGGGAAGGGGGAGAGGCTGCTGGCCAGGCCAGGCTTGTTCGGTAAAGAAGGACTGACTCCGGCTCCTCCCAACTGCTGCCCGCCGGCCGTCTGACCAAACGCCTGGCCAAAGGGTCCTGGGTTGCTGGCCATCCCCATCTGGAAGCAAAGGGAGGGGGCTGCCGTGAATGCTTTGCACTTTACCAAAACACTATTCTGGACAGTAGGAAAATCAGAATTTCCCTCTCAACCCCACAGACTGCCTTCCATGTAATTGAGAGCTAGGAGGGACGTTAGTACAACTGGGGGGCAGCAAAACATAAAGGGAATGAGAGAAGCGCCTGAATTGTAGGGTTGGTTGGCCTAGCGGGTTAAACTGCTGATGGAAAGGTCAGCAGTTCAAATCCAGGAAATGGGGTGAGCTCCTGCTGTTAGCCCTTGCTCCTGCCAACCTAACAGTTTCAAAACATGCAAATGAGAATAGATCAATAGATACTGCTCTGGCGGGAAGGTAACGGCGCTCTATGCAGTCATGCTGGCCACATGACCTTAGAGGCGTCTACAGACAACGCTGGCTCTTTGGCTTAGAAATAGAGGTCAGCACCACCCCGCAGAGCTGGACTCGACTAGACTTAATGTCAGGTAAAACCTTTACCTTAGAGAGAACTTCAAAATATCTCTAGAAACTGTCTTTGTGCTCAAGAAATACTCTGTCACCTTGTTAATTAACTGCATCTGGCTCGCCACATTTGCGGGATTTGATTATTCACAGCTTGATCAATATGTTTCTTTATAGGAATCTATGGGTCCTTCAACATGTATTTGGAGAAAGGGGTCACCGATAGCTCCTGCTATTGGGAGCCAGCCACTTCCGAAAGGAAAAGGCTGCATGTTGCCATTGGGCCGCCTCGGCAAGGTACGGTCACTTGCACACAGAGACAGTCCTCCAGCAATGAATGAGGCCCACAAGAAGAACACACACCTGTCCTACAGCACGAGATTCCACAAAGTCAATGTGCTATGCTAAGCTCCTAGCAGTGGACTGTCCCCATAGTTCTTTCAAGTTTCAGAAGGAAAACATTGCTACTGGACGCACTGGCAGCCAAGGCCCAGGAATGACCACCAAGACAATAACACTAGCCCCTGTCTCAAAGCTCATTTCAGCAAAAGCTTAATGACATCCATTTTTTGACAAGAAACACCAGCTCACCCCCAACCCTCCAAGAGCACCCTCTGGCATTCACACACAGAAGTCCGGCTGCTCTTGCTCCAGATCCTTGTTTTAAACACATTCTGCTGTATAAAGCTGTACATGCCGCTATTACCTATTTTTCCAGAGCCACAAAACCCAGCACCTGCACATATTTTGATGCTTTACTGATATCCCACGCTCACACAAAGAGCCCCCCCTCTCTGCCCTATAGAGGGGGCACAAAACCGTTCTCTTTTGGAGATAATGGAATCCCGACCAGACCTTCTGGGGCCGAAATCCCCTCCTCGCCCAAGAAGAGCCCAACAAGGACGCAGACAGTTAGTCTCTACATACAACACGTAAGGAAAAGCAGGTGGGCTACCTGCAGCAAGCCCAGTGAGAGCTTTATCAGCTTTTAGAGGTATCCTATCAAGATCCCAGACAAGACCCCCCCCCCCCCCCCCCCCCCCCAACCTCAATGTTATGCTCTGCTTGAGAGTGGCGTCCTTCCTTGGAACATGCACATATGCTTCTTGACACAGAACCCTGGCAGAGTTCTATGGGGGCCCATTTCCCAAACAGGAGCCAGCCCCACCCCCGGTGGTTCAGCGGGTTAAACCACTGAGCTACTAAACTTGCTGACCGAAAGATTGGCAGTTCAAACCTGGGGAGCAGGGTGAGCTTCTGCTGTTAGACCCAGGTTCTGCCAACCTAGCAGTTCAAAAACATGCAAATGTGAATAGATCAATAAGTACAGCTCTGACAGGAAGGTAACAGCACTCCATGCAGTCATGCTGGCCACATGACCTAGGAGGCGTCCACAGACAACGCCTGCTCTTTGGCTTAGAAATGGAGATGAGCACCAACCTTCAGTTGGACACGACTAGACTTAATGTCAGGGGAAACCTTTACCTAAGCATGTTATTATTATTATTATTATTATTATTATTATTATTATTATTATTATTATTACCATTATTACCTACATTTATATACAGCTTTTCTCCCCATAAGGGAACTCAATTTCCAAGGCAAAATTCAATACATAAATGTGAAAACGTACATAAATGTGAAAACGAAAAGATAATGGCGAGACAATAACATACAACCATAAATTAACTTAACCAAATTAAAACATAAACATAAAAGAACATTTAGACATAAAACCTAAAAATTTAAACACTGATAATAACATTTATATTAAAACATGTCTAGGAACTCTCCCTCAGAGACCACCGAAAGGGCCCCAATCCCCTCCCTTTTTGCCAGATGCCACCTACTTTCGCCATGGATGCGGCCTGGGAGGCGTTGAGGCCCGCGTGGGCTGCCATTTGGGGTGACACCTGTGCTAAGGCTTCTGCCAGGACATTGCCCGTGCCGCCTTGCATCCCGGCAGCTGAGTACTGCATGCCAGTGCCGCCACGTCCTCCTCTTCCGGCCGCCCCCAGGGAACCGTTCATCACCTGCCCTTGCCCTTGTCCTTGCTGGGCAGGTCCCAGGAGGCTGTGGCCAGAGCTGTTGCTGTTGAGGAGTCCTGGGAGAGCCTGGCCAAAGCTTGTGTTCAGGTGCATCCCTCCGCCTGCAGAGGCCTGGGCGGGGGATGAGGAAGCGGGGCTGCCGGCCACCATGCCGGCCTGCTGCTGCTGCTTCTGGGGTGGGGCTGCAGAGGGAGGCTTGGCCAAGGGCCCCCCTGTGGCAGCCTCCCCGGGTCCCAGCGGGCTCTTGCCCATGGCTCCCAGGCTGCTTCCGCCACCGAGTCCAGTGTTGGGTTGCCCCTGGGATGGGACCCCGACCCCTTGCGGGACCGGGCCCCCCACTGCGCTCACGCCGCCCCTCAGCAGCTCAGACAGCTGCTTGTGTTTGGAGGCCGCATCCGGGACCAGACTTCCACTGCTATTGCTCAAAAGGCTCAGGTCTCCGTTTGAGATCAGCTCGTCGGGGAGGTCGTTCTCCAAGTTAAAAAAGGATCCGAAATCTGCAAGAACGACAGACAGAGGAGCAATTAAAGACACGCGAATAGTCCCACTCTTCCTTTGTCACACCACAGATCCTAGCATGCATCTTTAGTCAATCAGAGGAGGCAGCGGGAAGTCTGAATAGCTGTCAGAACTGTATAAGATGTCTTGTATTTTTCTGTGAATTCATCTTTGTACCTTTTGAAGCAAAATGCTTTTTGGGCAAATCATATTGAACCTCTGTGACTTGTTCTCAGCCTGGTGAGTGTGTTTCTCCATCCTGGTCTAACTGGTTAAGCATACGCTCATTGGGCACAGATTCTTTTGACCATGGTCCTAGCTGCTCAGGGGTCCTCCTTCAAGGCAAGGAGGGCCTTGCAATTGCTGAAGGAAAGAGAAGGCCGGCTGCTTGCCAAGCATCTGGGAAGCGGATGGTCTTCTCTTTCCTTCTGTGATGGCAGGGCTCACCCAACTTCCAAAAGCAAACTGCGGCTGGCCCATCTTTCCTTTCTGGAAACGTTTTAGCCCAGGCATGGGCACACTTGGGCCCTCCCTTCAGGTGTTTTGGACTCCAACTCCCATAATTCCTAATTCCTAACAACCTGGATCTACAAGCATATACGTACAAAAATCTACATTTATTCCAATAGTCATGACATCCTTTTCTTCTGGAACATCATCATCATATATCAACAATGCTATTTATTTATACTGAATTATACACGAATATCATTATTGTGTTTTTATAATTCAATCTGTCTGTTGTGTGTGGCTACCTGGAGGGTGGGCTAAAGTTGGCCCATGCCTGGTTTAACCTCTCAGCAGAAAGACAAGCCTCCAGAAGCAGAGCAGGCGGAACTGCATCCTGCAGAACATCCTCTGGTTTCCCAGAAAACACTGCTTGTCCATTGGGAAAGAAGGGCTAGTAGAAATGCAAGCCTTAGAACAGAGTTTCTCAGCCTTCCTAATGCCGCGACCCCTTAATACAGTTCCTCATGTTGTGATGACCCCCATCCATAAAATAATTTTTGTTGCTACTTCATAACTGTAATTTTGCTACTGTTATGAATCGTAATGTCAGTATCTGATATGCAGGATGCATTTTCATTCACTGGACCACATTTGTCACAAATACCCGATACGTCCAAATCTGAATACTGGTAGGGTTGGGGGGGGGGGCGGGGGAGTGATTTTGTCATTTGGGAGTTCTAGTTGCTGGGATTTATAGTTCACCTACAATCAAAGAGCATTTTGAACTCCACCAACAATGGCATTGAACCACACTAGGTACACAGAATTCCCATGACCCACAGACAATACTGGAAGAGTTTGTTGGCATTGACCTTGCATTTTGGGAGTTGTAGTTCACCTACATCCAGAGAGCAATGTGGACTCAAACAATGATGGATCTGGACCAAACTTGGCACGGATAATCAATATGCCCAAATGTGAAACTGGTGGAGCTTGGGGGAAATAAGACCTTGACATTTGGGAGTTGTAGTTGCTGGGATTTATCGTTCACCTACAATCAAAGAGCTTTCTGAACTCCACCAACAATGGAACTGAACCAAACTTGGCACACATAACTCCCATGACCCACAGACCATACTGGAAGAGTTTGGTGGACATTGGCCATGAGTTTTAGAGTTGCAGTTCACCTACATCCAGAGACCACTGTGGATTCATACAATGATGGATCTGGACCCAAATTGGCACGGATAATCAATATGTCCATATTTGAGCACTGGTGGAGCTTGAGGGAAATAAAACCTTGGCATTTTGGAGTTGTAGTTGCTGGGATTTCTAGTTCACCTACAGTCAAACAGCATCAACAATGGAATTGTTGATGAACTCCATCAACAATGGAATTGAACCACACTAGGTACACAGAACTCCCATGACTCAAAGTAATACTGGAAGGGGTTGGCGGGCATTGACTTAGAGTTTTGGAGTTGTAGTTCACTTATATACAGAGAACACTGTGGACTCAAACAATGATGGATCTGGACCAAACTTGGCATGAATACTCAATATGCCCAAATGTGAACACTGATGGAGCTTGAGGGAAATAAGACCCTGACATTTGAGAGGTGGAGCTGCTAGGATTTATCGTTCACCTACAATCAAGGAACATTCTGAACCCCGGAACTTGGAAGAAATAAGACCTTGACATTGGGAAGTTGTAGTTTACCTACATCCAGAGAGCACTGTGGACTCGATGGATTTGGACCAAACTTGGCACGAATACTCAATATGCCCAAGTATGAACACTGGGGGGGATAAGACCTTGACATTTGGGAGGTACAGCTGCTAGGATTTATCGTTCACCTACAATCAAGGTGCATTCTGAACCCTGGAACTTTGAGGAAATAAGACCTTGACATTTGGGAGTTGTAGTTTATCTACATCCAGAGAGCACTGTGGACTCAATGATGGATCTAGACCAAAATTGCCATGGATAATCAATATGCCCAGATGTGAACACTCTTGGAGCTTGGGGGAAATAAGACCTTGACATTTGGGAGTTGTAGCTGCTGGGGTTTATCGTTCACCTACAATCAAGGAGCATCCTGAACCCTGGAGCTTGGGGGAAATAAGACCCTGACATTTGGGAGGTGCAGTTGCTGGGGTTTATCATTCACCTACAATCAAGGAGCATCCTGAACCCTGGAACTTCGAAGAAATAAGACCTTGACATTTGGGAGTTGCAGTTTACCTACATCCAGAGAGCACTGTGGACTCAATGATGGATCTGGACCAAACTTGGCATGAATACTCAATATGCTCAAATATGAACACTGGTGGAGCTTGGGGGAAATAAGACTCTGACATTTGGGAGGTGCAGCTGCTGGGATTTATCGTTCACCTACAATCAAGGCGCATCCTGAATCCTGGAGCTTGGGGGAAATAAGGCCCTGGCATTTGGGAGGTGTAGTTGCTGGGGTTTATCATTCACCTACAATCAAGGAGCATCCTGAACCCCGGAACTTGGGGGAAATAAGACCTTGAAATTTGGGAGGTAATATGCGAAAGATTTATACGATCTTAAGAGAAACCAGAATTTGGAAGAAATAAGACCTTGACATTGGGAAGTTGTAGTTTACCTACATCCAGAGAGCACTGTGGACTCAAACAATGATAGATCTGGACCAAACTTGGCATGAATACTCAATATGCTCAAATGTGAACACTGGTGGAGCTTGGGGGAAATAAGACCTTGACATTTGGAAGTTGCAGCTGCTGGGGTTTATCATTCACCTACTTGACATTTGGGAGTTGCAGTTTACCTACATCCAGATAGCACTGTTGACTCAATGATGGATCTGGACCAAACTTGGCATGAATACTCAATATGCTCAAATATGAACACTGGTGGAGCTTGGGGAAAATAAGACCCTGACATTTGGGAGGTGAAGCTGCTGGGATTTATAGTTCACCTACAATGAAAGAGCATTCTGAACCCTGGAGCTTGGGGGAAATAAGACCCTGGCATTTGGGAGATGTAGCTTCTAGGATTTATCATTCACCTACAATCAAGGAGCATTCTGAACCCCGGAACTTCGAGGAAATAAGACCTTGACATTGGAAAGTTGTAGTTTACCTACATCCAGAGAGCACTGTGGACTCAATGAAGTATCTGGACCAAACTTGGCACGAATACTCAATATGCCCAAATATGAACACTGGTGGAGCTTGGGGAAAATAAGACTCTGACATTTGGGAGTTGTAGTTGCTGGGATTTATCATTCACCTACAATCAAGGAGCATTCTGAACCCTGGAATTTGGAATAAATAAGATTTTGACATTGGGAAGTTGTAGTTTACCTACATCCAGAGAGCACTGTGGACTCAATGAAGGATCTGGACCAAACTTGGCACGAATACTCAATATGCCCAAACAATGATGGATCTGGACCAAACCTGGCATGAATACTCAATATGCCCAAATATAAACACTGGTGGAGCTTGGGGGGAATAAGACCTTGACATTTGGGAGGTGTAGCTGCTGGGATTTATCGTTCACCTACAATCAAGGTGCATTCTGAACCCCGGAACTTGAAGGAAACAAGACCTTGACATTTGGGAGTTGCAGTTTACCTACATCCAGAGAGCACTGTGGACTCAAAGATGGATCTGGACCAAACTTGGCACGAATACACAATATGCCCAAATATGAACACTGGTGGAGTTTGGGGAAAATAGATCTTGACATTTGGGAGATGTAGCTTCTGGGATTTATCATTCAACTACAATCAAGGAGCATTCGGAACCCTGGAGCTTGGGGGAAGTAAGACCTTGACATTTGGGAGTTGTAGCTGCTGGGATATATCATTCAACTACAATCAAGGAGCATTTTGAACCCCATCAATAATAGATTTGGGCCAAACTTCCGACACAGACCCACCCCTGTGACTAACAAAAAATACTGTGTTTTCTGACGGTCTTTGGCAACCACACCAGGGGTCCCGACCCCCAAATTGAGAAGCTAAGTCTCTGAGTGATGCAAAGTATGGCTGGACAGGGTTGGCCAAAAATGCAGGCCAGGCCACTGCAGGTCTAAATCATGCATGGTCAAACTTCGGCCCTCCAGGTGTTTTGGGCTTCAACTCCCACCATTCCTAACAGCCTCAGGCCCTTTCCTTTTCCCTCTCAGCCGCTAGTTTGGCTGAGGGGAAAAGGAAGGGGCCTGAGGCTGTTAGGAATGGTGGGAGTTGAAGTCCAAAACACCTGGAGGGCCGAAGTTTGACCATGCCTGATCTAAAGGCAGAGAGCATGACAGGTAAGGCAACCCTCCGCCTGACAGACAGTGTGCACCTAGGCCGATGCCTCTTAGGCTTCCATCTCAGCATCAATCCCTGAGAGGGAAGGAGGGAGGGAAGTCTGCCAGGGAAGCTGCAGGGGACCCTCAAGAGTGGGGTCTCTCTCTCTCTCTCTCTCAAGAGTGGGGTCTCTCTCTCCCGCTGGGGTCTCTCTCTCTCTCTCTCTCTCTCACCGCTGGGGTCCGGGCCCGGGAAGCCCGGCGAGTTGAGCTTGGCCCGCTTGGCGTTGGGCGGCCCGTCCAGCAAGTTCTCCGCCATGGCCTCCTCCTCCTCCGCCGCCGCCTCCTCCGCCGCCGCCTCCCGGGGCCCGCCGTGGCGCCGCCAACGCCGGAGAAGGAGAAGGAAGGAAGGGAGGAAGGAGCAGGTCGGGCGCCGCTCAGGGCCGCGAGGAAGGGCCCCGGGACCAGCGCCGCCTCCGCCGCCGCCGCACCAGCAGCAGCAGCCGCTCCTCCCTCATCGCCTCGTTCCCGGCCTGCCCTCTTCTCTCCCTCTGGCTCTCTCTCAGGCTCTGGGCCTGCCCGGCTGGGCCCAATGGGGAGCGGGCTTGGGCCCTCTCTCTCTCCCCCTCTCTCTCTCGCGGCCTGCCTTCCTCCGCGGAAGGCGCCGGCCCTCTCCTCTGCGCTCCTCGGGAAGCAAGGCCCGGCCCTCAGCCTCAGCCTCGGCCTCGGCTGTGGCGGCGCTCTCGGTCCGGCTCCTCCGCGACAAGATGGCGGCTGTTGATTCCTCAATTAAAAAAAAAAGTTTTTTTTCTCTCTTCTCTTTTCCAGCGGCGGAGGGGCGGGGCTGGGGGCGGGGCCAGGACGGCGCGGTGGCGTCATCGCGTTCACGCAGCGCACGCACGCACGCCGGGGACCGGGCCAAGATGGCAGCCTTCTGGGTTTGCTCCCTGCACTCCCTCAGCGAGAGGGGAAGGAAAAGGGAGGAAAGGAGAAGAAAAGGAAGAGGAAAAGAAATGGGAAGGGAAAGGAAAAGAAGGGAGGGAACAGGGAAAGAGGGAGGGAAGGGGACGAAAGAGGGAAAGGGAAGGGAGGAAAGGAAGGGGAGGGAGGAAGGAAGGAAAGAGGGAAAAGGCTCCTCCATTACAAAAACAATCTCTATAATTATATGAATTATAGAGATTGTTTTTGTAATGAAAGGAATATAAATGCAATAAAAATTATTAGGTGTTTAGAAAAAAAAGAGGAGAACAAGTTGAATCGCTGTAAAGAATCTGGCTTAAAGAAAAGAATGAAGTAGTTTTTGTTAAGACTTATACATCTTTATTTCCTACTTTTCTTTCACTATATTGTTCCACCTCTTTTTATGTATATAGCATTTCTTTTGTGGTTAATAAAAATTAATTATGAAAAAGGAAAGAGGGAAAGGAAAGGAAGGGGAGGAAAGAGGGGAATTGAAAGGCAGGAAAGGAAAGGAAGGGGAGGCAAGAGGGAAAGGAAGGAGAGGCAAGAAGGAAAGGGAAGGGAAAAAAGAGGGGAAAGGGAGTAAAGATGGAAAGGAAGGGGAGGAAAGAGGGAAAGGGAAGAGAGGGGAAGGAAAGAAAGGGGAGGAATGGGGAAGAGAAGGGAAGGGAGGAAAGAGGGAAAGGAAGGGGAGGGAAGAGGGGAAAGGGAGGGAAGGGGAAAGAAGGGGAAAAGGGGAGGGAGGAGGAAAGAGGAAGGAAAGAGGGAAGAAGGAAAGAGGGAAGGGAGGAAAGCAAGAAAGGGGGAAGGGAAGAGGGAAAGGAAGGGAGGAAAAGAAAAGGAAAGGGAGGAAAGGGGAGGGAGGAAGGGAAAGGGAAGAGAAGGGAGAAAGGGAAGGAAAGAAGGAAGGGAGGAAGGAAAAAAAGGGAAAGGAGGGGAAGGGAAGGAAGAAGGAAAGGGGAAAGGAAAGGAAGGGGAGGAAAGGGAAGGGAAGAAGGGGAAAGGAAAGGGAAAGGAAAGGAAGGGGAGGCAAGAGGGAAAGGAAGGAGAGGCAAGAGGGAGGGAAGGGAAAAAAGAGGGGAAGGGAGTAAAGATGGAAAGGAAAGGAAGGGAGGAAAAAAGGGGAAAGGAAGGGAGGAAAAATAAAGGGGGGAAGGAAAGGGAGGAAATGGAAGGGGAGAGAAGGGGACAAAAGGGGAAAGGAAAGGGAGGGAGGAAAGAGGGGAAAGGAAGGAAAGAGGGAAAGGGAAGGGAGGAAAGAGGGAAAGGGAAGGGAGAGGAAGAGGGGAAGGAAAGGGGAGGAAAGAGGGAAAGGAAGGGGAGGAAAGAGGGGAAGAAAGGAGGGAAGGGAGGAAAGAGGAGGGGAAGGAAAGGAAAGCAAACAGGAGGGAAGGGAAGGAAGCCAAAGGGAAGGAAAGGAAAAGAAGACAAAGGGGAGGAAAGGAAGAGGGGAAAGGAAAGAGGAGGGGAGGGGAAGATAAAGGAAACAAGGGAAAGGAGAGGGAAGGGAAGGAGTATGAGTAAATGTGTTCTTGATAGCTTTCATGTCCGGAATCACTGGGTTGCTGTGACTTTTCCGGGCTGTATGGCCATGTTCCACAAGCATTCTCTCACCCGCATCTATGTCAGGCATCCTCAGAAGTTGAGGGGTCTGTTGGAAACAAAGTAAGTGAGATGTGTTGTTGAAGGCTTTCATGGCCAGAATCACTGGGTTGTTGAGCGTTATCTGGGCTGTTTGGCCATGTTTCAGAAGCATTCTCTCTTGACGTTTTGCCCACATCTATGGTAGGCAACCTCAGAGGTTGTGAGATCTGTTGGAAACTAGGAAAGTAGCGTTTATATATCTGGAATGTCGAAGGTGGGAGAAAGAACTCTTTTCAGTTGGAAGCAAGTGTGAATGTTGCAATTGGCCACCTTGACTAGCATTTAATAGCCTTTTTTGGTAGTTGGCCCAGGAATTCCTATCTCTGAGCTGCTAAACTTGCTAACCAAAAGCTTAGCAGTTTGAATCCGGGGACTGGGGTGAGCTCCTGGTGTTAGCCCCAGTTTCTCCATCCTAGCAGTCCGAAAACATGCAAATGTGATTAGATCAATAGGTACTGCTTTGGCGGAAAGCTAATGGCGCTCCATGCAGTCATGCTGGCCACATGATCTTGGAGGCATCTACTTACAACGCCAGCTCTTCAGCTTGGAAATGGAGATTAGCAGCGCACCCCCCCCCCCCCCCCCCCCAGTTGGACACGACTAGACAATGTCAGGGGAAACCTTTACCTTTTCCTATCTCGGGCTGGACCATAAGGAAGGCTGACCAAAGGAAGATAGAAGCTTGTGAACTGTGGTGTTGGAGGAAAATTCTGAGAGTGCCTTGGACCGCAAGAAGATCCAACCAGTCCATAAATAAAGGCTGAGTGCTCATTGGAGGGAAGGATAGTAGAAGCAAAGATGAAGCATTTTGGCCACATAATGAGAAGAAAGGAAAGCTTAGAGAAGACAATTATGCTGGGGAAAATGGAAGGAAAAAGAAAGAGGGGCCGACCAAGGGCAAGATGGATGGATGTTATCCTCAAAGTGACTGGCTTGACTCTGAAGGAGCTGGGTGTGGTGACGGCCGACAGGGAGCTCTGGCGTGGGATGGTCCATGAGGTCACGAAGAGTTGGAAGCGACTGAACGAATAAACAACAACATCTCAGGTCCTTTTTAGGTCTTCACCAGCCATTGTTTCTGCACTGGGACAACTGGTTTCTCCCACTTCTGCACACAGACACTTCTCACTGCAGTTAACCATTTCAATTATTATCATTATCATTATATTCTATTCCAATGCATTGACTGTGGCATGATCTTTCAAGGGGAGAGATAAGTGGTAGCTAAATCCGTGTCAGGATGGAAGGCGCCACTGAATACCTCTTTCTCCCATTTTACGTACAGCTCCCCCAAATCAAGGTGAATCTCCCCCAAAGACCTCCAGTATTTTTTGCTGGTCATGAGGGCTCTGTGTGCCAAGTTTGGTGGAATTCAGAGTGCTCATTTATTGCAGGTGAACTATACATCCCAGTGCCTACAACGCCTATAAATCATGGTGAATTTTCTCCAAAGCTCCCTGGTATGTTCAGTTACTGATCAATTCATCTGTTTGTGGGGTCATGCAAATTCCACACCAGTAGAGAGAGTAATAAACACTGGGATGTCTGTGGTGGAGGAAACCCATACATTCTAGGATGAAATTGTACCCTTTGTTCACTTGGGTGATGGGCAGTATGGTATTTGTGAGGACATTGGCAGGGTTTGGCAGCTCTTGTACATGTTCACAGTACTCACTATAACCTGTAATATCATTGGAGGGAGCATCTCCTGGGTGATGGGAGCTATAGCTTTTTTTCGGAGGTGGGAGCTTATCTGTGTAAGTGGATACCCCAGCCACATACACACATACATATTTTTGCTTTTATTATATGTGGATGGATAGATAGATAGACAGACAGACTAATGTATCTCCTGCTTTCTTCTTGGCACAGCTTGGAGGGAGAGTAGCTGGCCTCTTTGAAAATCTGTTTGCAAGGATTACTTTTACAAAAGTTTAAAAGTTAAAAAATGATAGCACTAAAGCAGATAAAGACAAATTTAAAATACAGCGAAGAAAGATTGAAAAGAAGTAAAAAGGAAAGGCATTCAAACAACAGGCAAAAGGTGAAGGCAAAGTAATTAAGGAAATGATGTATTTTTAGTCTGAAGGAGGACTGATGGGACAGAAGGAGAAAGAACAGAAGGGAGGCAATGTCACTTGTATTTCTGGATTAAAGGTTTAATTTATATCTTTTTCCCCTGAAGGTTGTCAAAGAAGAGAGAAACTAGAAAGCGAGAAGAAACAAAAAATAATGGAATGATGGAGGAAAAGGTGATTTTAGGTGATTTAATTTTTACCCACCTCTCCTTGTGGCTTGAGGTGGGTTACATCGTTTGTTACAACACAAACAATCATCTAAAAACATGTACAAAATGCACATACTAAAACATATTTCTACAAAATACATATTAAAATACACAGAACAAATAATAAACATAAGATGCAAGTTCGAAATTCGTGATTAAAACCGGCTGTCTCTTTCCTCATTTCTTGTGATAATATATCTTATTTAGGAGCCCAAGGAAGTCATATTCCTTCCCCAAGGATTTCCAAAACTGGTGTTCCTTTTTTGGTGGAGCCATAAAAGCCGTATTTCCTGGCTTTTACCCACAAGCTTTGCCTCGGGAAATGTTTCCATGGTTGGGATCCAGGTTGCTCCTTTTTGCTTTCTTTCCCTGTTAGTTGGCCGACTCCTTTCTTCCCTTCAGGCTGATTGAATGTCCTTTATTTTATTCATTCATTTGCAACCTTTCCTTTTTGCACAGTACTGCATGTTGGTGGGCAGCCATTAATAATAACGAGCAGCCCAAGTCAAGAGTGAATGTTCTTTTTGAATTTTTAAAATTATTTTATCATAGTTCAATATAACCTACCATACTTTAACTTTTGGCATCTACTGTTCTTTTTCTGCTTATACATATTATCTATCCCTCACCACTGTGCTCCCCTCCCCGCCTCCCAAGCCACAGCTTTTACATATCATCTGTTCAAAATTTCAATTCTTCTTGTGGAAATAACTTTCCTTCTTTCTTTTTTAATCTTTTTCCAATATTTTTTCTCCATACATCATCAAAATCACTTTGTTTCCATATACCTCTTTTAATTTTTGATGTACATGTCAGCTTATAATTTATTACCAATTTCCATACTTCCTTGTCCCACTCCTCTATTTGTATATTTATTTCTCTTTTCCAATTCCTTGCCATAATAATAATAGTAATAATAATAACAATAATAATACTTTAT